TTGGTGTAAATGGATGCTCGAAAGACTCGACGAGTAAATTAACCAATAGACACAGCCCTCAAGTTTCTCGCCGGATCTTCTCAGTGGGTCGCGTTTCCGATCCGGTGGTAGATTCTGCGAAGCACGGCTCTTGCTAGGGTCAGTGTTAGCAACACTTCCGGTTTGAGCACCGTGAGCTCACCTACACGTTAGGTTGACGCTGAAATAGCCTCTCAAGGCTAACAGCATAGGTAGGAAAAAAAGTAAGATCCTAATAAGAGCCTACGAGACTCAAGAAATCCTAACACTTGAAATTTGAATAATAAGATTTACACGAAAGCATTTTTAATATTGACAGGCTCTGGTGAAATAATTACAAAATAACTAAGTACCTAGACAGTAAACAAATTCGAACTTTGAATGTGAAAGTGTGAGGAGAGTGTGCCAGAAGAAGATGAAAACGTAAAAAATTACAATATAAAAGAATCAATTTTCATTTACTAAGCAATGTATTGAGGAGGGCGTTCGAAGGAACAAAAATCCAGACACAAATAACTATTCTATTATTAATATTTTATATCGTTACTCGGAGTCCATATTTCGTGAATCTCCGTCGTAGAATGTAAAATGTCGGTCTGTTGACGGATCAATCTATTTTTACACCTATTTTTAGCCCATTATTACGTCCTTTCATAATTACATCTAACACCATAATATACGAATATAGTTAGTTAAACCCTAAATTGTTGCGATTTGATAAAAAAAAAATAAAGGCTTAACGTTTTGCGATTAAAAAATTACATTATGAAATTAGTAAACGTGCTCTTAGAATGCGGTATTCGTTATTTAGATCACAAATCTTGTGAGCAATGGTCTTCTGAGAGAACTAGTGCATGGTCATCCGAATTAAATACCTATACCTGCAAAGGTTAAAATCGATACATCAAGCTCATACAATTTCTAGCAAAAGTCCAACTCCTTCCCTGTTCAGTTTCATATATCGATTAACGTAATTATAATTCGAATATTAACTGTTCTCACCTTGTCCTGCGAGGCGTATGTTAATTGATTTGGCGAGCAGGCGCTATCGAATGTGTAATCAGCTTGGTATCTGCGCACCCGCTCACGACTGTCGCCAGCTCCTGATACGCTCACCTTTAAAAATGAGTGTTTATTATCTGTTAAGCTAATGCTGAAGCTAACCAGCTATTGTGTTGTCTATTACCCCATAGTGTTGCGAGTAACAACCAGTAGGATTGAAATCTTGTCTTGTTACCTCATATTATGGTGTTTAGTCTTATTCTCACGGACTTAGAAACTCTGGGTCTTCGGAAGAACTTTGTGTTGCGCATAGTAAGTTTCATGGTAATGCATTACCTTCGCATCAGTAACGCCCCACAGAAACAAGGAACCACTTTATTCATCCACAATACTTTTTAAACGAACATGTTTCCGGTGTACGCAAAAATAGCTATAAAGGGTAGGTAAATAGCAGATTGATTGTGTTCCTGGCGCTGTTAAACTCCGTGAGCCACATTGACCAACCACAATTAAATGATCCCTAAGCTTACGAAGGTAAATAAAAGTTAACAACAATGCACGACAGAGTAAACATACCTTCAAATTAGTAATGGTTACCGTTTTACTGTCCAACACATTCACAACACGTACACGCTCCTTTTCTGATTTCAATTCCCTAAAACGAATCACAAAAATAACTACCTATTTTTTATTTATTGTCGTCTCACTCACAATAAATGTTTATATCAAACTTCGACAAAGTCGACCGACTTTCGGTAACTAAATCAACTCACTTATCGGTAAAAGGTCTAACTCTTATAGCTAAACGAACGTTTGACATCTCTACCTCATTTATTATTAATTTAAAAATCAGACTTGAAAGCTCACGCTAGACAAGTAAATACGTGAATGAACTCCAAATTTCGTTCACTGGAAAAAGCTATTTTCGTCTTTCAAAATACTTCCTGCAGTTAATGCATACGAAATAGTATAAATAGAATGAATATACAGGAGATATGGGACACTGTGGTGGCTCAACTTCGATGTTTAAATATTCGACTAAATTTTTCTAAGCAGTTAAAACAAATTTTGCAAGCAACAGCTGAGGACTACGACTGGTGTTAATATTTCGATTAAATATAAATTTTTACTAAGTACATTTTTTATTGCCCTTGTAGGCAGACGAGCATGCGCCCCACCTGATGGTGAGTGGTTACCGTCGCCCATGGACTTCAGCAATGCCAGGGGCAGAGCCAAGCCGCTGCCTACCGCGAACATGATATTTTAAACATAACACAGAATGAGAAAACGGAATAAATATATGGTAACGAGTTTCTTTATTTGTTATATACTTATTAGGTCTCTACAAATTAAAATGCCGTTTAGTGTACAGAAAGATAAAGTATTTTTTTAGAAATATTTTTAATTTCTATTAATCAAAATATGCCCCCATAGTATAAACGCATCGCAGCCTTAATTTTTCAATGCCCTTCTTGAAGAAGACAGGTGTACGGAAGCCAACAAACTCTTCAAAGGCATTTTGTGCTGCCTCCCGGGTATTGAACTTTTCCCTGCCAAGAAATTGTCCAAACTTTGAAAAGAGTAGAAGTCTGTCGTGTAAGGTCTGGTGCGTACAGTGGATGACACAAAACACCCTATCATAGCTCTTGTAGCTTGGAAAGAGTCTGTTGTGCCGTATAAGGTTGAAGGCTGTCGTTGTAGGAGCAATGGGTGCCCAAGTAGCAGTAGTGATTACCAAAGGTTAACTATATATTCGTACTAAATAGTTCGATTTGTAGTGAAAAATTGATATTCGTTTTTTTTTTCATTTGACATATTTATTGAATCAAAATATCTATCATTATTATCTATACATTGCTGCCATCTAAGGGGAAGGTCATTTATGCCTTTGCGATAGAACTCTGGTGATCTAGATTCCACAAACTGTGTGAAAGCAATCTGCACTGCCTTCTGGGAAGAAAACTTTTTATCACGGAGAAAATTGTTCAAATCACGAAAAAAGTGTTAGTCCGTTGGAGCAAGGTGTGGCGAATAAGGAGGGCGACGAATGGTTTATAATTGCAGTTCCTGTAGAGCTAAAACGGTTTCCCATGCTGTATGACGACTCGCGTTATCATGTAGCAATAATGGTGAAGGTCGATTCATGAGTCATTTTTGCTATCATTGTTCGGAGTTCGGCACAGTAGACATCTGCCTTATTGCTTGACCAGGTCGGAAAAAGCTATAGTGATTATCACCATGCTGAGACCACCAAGCAGTTACCATTACCTTTTTATTGGTAAGTTTTGCTTTAGGACACTATTGGGGCGTTTAATCTGGGGTCAGCCATTGCATTTTTCGCTTACGGCTATCGTAAAGAATCCACTTTTCATCACATGTCACAATTCGATCCAATATTCCTTAATTTCTGTATCGATTCAACAAGGCAACACAAGTTTCAACACGCGTTTCTTTATGCAGATCATGATTTGCATAAGGCACCCACCCATTTTTCATATCTTTTTATTTTATTGATTTGACGCAAATGAGTCAATATTGTTGGTAAGGTAACGTTAAACCATACCGCTAATTTCTGGGTAGTTTGGCTCAGATCGGCTTCCACCATCTCTTTCAATTCATTGTTATTCACATGTGTGAGTGGTCTTCCACGTGGTTCGTTCTTCAAACCGAAATTTCCATCACGAAATCGTTTAACCTAAAATCGCACGGTGCGTTCATTAGCACTACTCTTTCCAAACGCAACATTGATATTGCGAGCTGTTTCTGCAGCATTAGTTCAGCGTCGGAACTCGTATTAAAAAATCACATGAATTTTCGAAGTAGGTATCCATCTTTCTTGTTTATGCTGAATAAAAAACACGTGTGGCACTCGGGGACTGCCGCGGTAAAGCTATTGTATAGCATGTATCAACTCATGCAATTATAATTAGACAATAATAATTTAATATAAAACAAAAATAAAATAAGATCACAATAAATTTATATAAAATTAACTGTCCCCTTCACACTCATAAGCTAGACCGCGCGAGAGAGAGATGGGCAGACTTTTCATAATGCGCATGCAGTGCGACGTCACGCCGCGCGCTTATTCACAAAACACTACACAAACGCAACGTGTGAATGTATTAAACGCGAGCTACATGGTAGGTGGAGTGAGGGGTGTTAGGCTCTAATTTCGTTACGGAATTTCTTGATTCGGTCGCCACGCTCAAAGCCCGTGATAAAAGCTAGGCAATAGCTTAAAAAACAATTGAACATCTATAATCGAATTTTGCACATTTTTTAAAAGAAGAACCTCATAGCCATTTGAAAAAAGTTTCACTTAAAAATCTCAAACCATGAGGGTTCTATATCAATTCGAACTAATATACCTATTACAATAGAACAGCAATTTCATAATTTAGCCCTATTATATATATGTATGTATATATAAAAGACCGAGCTGTATCGTATGACACTTCTATCTTTCCAGTTGGAAAAATAAAAATACTACTACTGTGTAATAAAGCTGTAAGCTGTGTAAGAATTTTTGGCGGGAACGCGAGGAGTAAAGTTGTGTGATTTGTTTTATTTTGTCTATTTAGTGTTTCTTTAAGTTTAAATGCATAATAGCGGTGGTTTATTAACTGTTTAATATCTGTGAAAGTGCACAAATGTGGAAAAATACAACAAAGCTGTTAAACATAACTTCTCGGGATCCTCCAAAAAATCCACTGAAAAAATCTCAGTAAATTACCACGATTTTACTGAGATTATATTTCAGCCTATATCATCTCATCTCATCTCATCTCATTTTATTTCATTTCATTTCCATATTTCATATTAACCAGTTCATTTCACTTCATATTATCAGTTTCAATTAAATGATTTATATATTATAAAGGATAAGGCGGTATGGTACAACACTTTTGCCTTTCTAGTTGGAAAATTAGAACTACTACTACTATAAGCTGTCATAGCTGTCAAAAGTCACTGATTATACTAAAAAAACATCGAAACTTTTCATTATCTAAAAAGTGAAACTCTTAATAACTGAACGAAGATCTCGGGATACACTGTTATTTATATTATATTGTAATGTAAAAGTGTAATTCAGTAAAATTCATACATACGAAAGTAAGTACATTTGTGCAAAATCAGGCAATGATCATTCTATGCATTGCTAGAAACATTTGTGACCCGGTTTATCGTCGGGTCGTGTAAATTAATCTCAATATCTTCATCTCCAATTTTGTACTCAATAATTAAATATATGTTTGATATTTCATTTTGATTGTGAACATCAAGACGAATAAAATGGAAATGTTAAAATGTTGATAAATTTGAAACTATTAAAAGCTCTTAAGGTAAATTAAAAATACAGCTAAACCATTAGTAAGTTTGTAGTCTCAAGTATAAATTAGTTTTAGTATGAATAAATCATCACTTTCATCTATTTGATGTATGTAATATTCAGAATGATTTTAAGTAGTTGATGGAACTCATGTGTTATCTTGAGACATGAGGTATTAAACCAAATTAAGTATTATAATGGCTGTCTCTACCCTTCAAAGTGGAACAAATGATTGCTTAAGAGCTATTAATGCCAAGGTGGTCGTACCCACCGATATGAGCTTACATTACGTCCTACTAGTTAACAAGATCAGATTAAATCAGAAATATCAACGTTGCACAAAACCTACTTCTAATCTTACAATATTTTAATACTTTTCTTTGTTTATAACAAACTAATACTAAATTTATCTTAATTTGCATTGTAACTTCTACTTGCATTAAATTAATCTTCAACTTGGCATGTTGTCAACTATTCTACATGTTCCTGTGATAATTATACACAATTCGAGATTAGCTTTATTTAAATTCATGTGTCAAAGGTTCACAAGTGATACTCACAATGGGATCTTGTTTTGAATTCAAATGCAAATCTGATTCTACTTTCAAAAATAGAATACATTATATGAACAAATTTACGTCAACAAACTTGTAACATTTTAAATTCTCACTCTATTCAAGATGTTGGTCAGAAACCTAACAAGATCACTGTGGAGCACCCTAAGAGTCGAGAAAAGATTTTTGGCTTCAGAACCTGTGAAACCTGCTACTCTAGATAAGGATGGTCTGGAATTAGCCCAGGTGAGATAACTGCATGTCTAATTAATGTTGATAATAATAATAAAAAAAACAATAAATTATTAATTAAACAAGTTCTAATAAATCAGTACTAAAACTTAGTAAATACTTACTACTGCTACTACGTACTAGTTAACTATGCCTTAATGCATCAATTAACTTAATGATTAAAGTAATTACGAAGTATAGTAAAAAAAATTGTATTCCGTTTTTATTTCAAACATACATATTTAAAAGTCAGGATATGACCAGATAATAGAACAAGCTGTTTTTATTAATATTTCAAGACATTTATGTTTTGTAGCCTGTACATTATTTGCATATCTACGCTTGAAAGGCAAACGTGACTAAGCGACAATGCGTGAACATTACAGTAGATTAATTTAAAGTTGAAATACCTGAAAACAAAATTTATTTTAACGAATCTAGCTGTAGTAGAATCTAGCTAGTAGCTGTAGGATTGAAATAATTTTAATAGATTTAGAAATTTTTTTTTTGCGCAATGAATATGTTTATTGCCTATCATTTATGTACAAAGCAGTTATTGTCGCTTAGTCACGTTTGCCTTTCAAGCGTCGATATGAATTTAGCTACATGTTTTGCACTTGGTAATGAATGGTCACAGCTGCTCATGGACATTAACAATACCAACATCTTTCGTCTACCGCTGATAAAGTCGTAAAAGAGCATTTAAAGAGAATATCTCATTACGCTTAACACTGAAGAGAAAATAGTTCCTCAATCAAACAACAAGGAAATACAGTATTATTATCCTTTCAGGCAGAAGCTTTAGATAAAGATATTTGCCTGCTAGTTGATGAAAAGGACAACTTCATAGGAACGGCTACAAAGAGAGAATGTCATAAAGTAGGACCTGATGGCGATGTGCTACTCCATAGAGCATTCAGTGTTTTCCTCTTCAACAAGAGAGGTGATATGTTCCTTCAGAGGAGATCAAGCCAAAAAGTAAATTGTTGCAGTATTATGTAGAACTTTACTAATGACAATAAATATGTTTTTTAACTTATCATATTTTATAACTCGAGATCTCCACTATATGTGTGTTATTGAATATAATTAAAATATCTTTTCCCACATTAAAAGTAATTCAATGTGAATCCATTCTATCCATTTCATAATGTTCAACTTTAAAATATTCTTAAATACAATTAATTCCATTCTCAATCAACAAAATGAATCAGGTAACATATCCCGATTACTACACAAATGCTTGCTGCAGCCATCCACTGTACATAGATGAGAAGCCCGAGGAAATCATAACGGCAGCCAGACGTAGGATGAACCATGAACTGGGAATCCCGCTTGATCAGGTAAATAATCATAAAGTATTCTAAGAAGAAATATTGGAAAATTCACGAATTTTTTTTTTATTGCCCTTGTAGGCAGACGAGCATACGGCCCACTTGATGGTAAGTGGTTACCGTCGCCCATGGACTTCAGCAATGCCAGGCACAGAGCCAAGCCGCTGCCTACCGTATAAGCTTTTTAATAGCTTATTAAGCTTAGCTTGTAAGTCTGGACAAACATAAGTGAATATTCCTAATCTAAACCCTGAGTGCTCAGGTGAGCCTGCCTGAGTAGCTACTGCTATCCATATAGTTTCTATCAAAATAAGATTGAAACCTCATGTCTTAAACCTTAAGACATTAACATCCACTTTGTAATTACATAATATTATGGACTACATTATTAAAAATTAAATAAAAAAAAGAAAGTCAAGTTTGTAAGTTTTCTTTTACAATTAATCAAACTGGAAATGGCACTTAAAATTCAAGAATAAAATTATCGAATTTTCATTTTTTAGTCTACTTTCGGGCAATTGAGCAGAAAAATTGCCCTACACTTCGGCACTTTAGAAAGAATCTTTTGTGTCATTTATTTGACACTGTTAATACTACTTTCAGAAATTATAACTACCTATTACATAACCTTTTAATTTTATTTATCTCCAAGTTGGACCCGGAACTGTTCACGTTCATGACCCGCGTGCACTATCACGACCCGGGTGATGGAGTGTGGGGCGAACACGAGATCGACCACATACTGTTCTTCCAAAGCGACGTTAAGGTCAAGCCGAACTCGGACGAGATCTCGGAGTATTGTTTCGTGCCCAAAGCAGAGTTTAATTCGTGAGTAGAACGTTTCGGACACTATAATTATTAATGTATTTTTAAATCTGTAATGCTATTTGAAAAATATATATATAATACTTTTATTATATCCTGTAAAATATAGCCTTGAATAGCGCGTCGACTAATAAAATGAAAAGAAATACTTAAGTTATAAACGGTTTTTTTCATTTAATGCCAGTCACAGTGTGCTTCGTGCGAGTTTTTTAACGTTCTCGATAGCGTAAAAGTTAACTCAAATTTGTATGCAGTTGAAAAAGCGCCCCTAGCGGCAAACGTCGACAAATGTTCCAACTCCATACAAATTTGAGTTAGCTTTTAAGTTATCGTGAACGTTAAAAAACCCGCACTAAGCACACAGATCTCATTATACGCGTCACGCCACGCCTTCCATCATAAAAATTCACGTATTAAACAATAAGCGTTTTTTTTTCCGTCTACATTCTGTACAATCTTTTTGTAAAAAATCATAAATAAACAAGCTGTACCCGTCCGCTTCTCTGGGCATTTAAAACTAACATTATTATTTCTAACCCCCACAAAGATTCTCATCACTAACGCCCCCGCAACTGGTGTAGGGAGTCCAACGCTCATATAAATATTAGCCTATCCATTAAGTACATGTATTTTCTACATGGATACCAAGTTTCATCGGATGCACGATTCAATTCGGTTATAACGGAACATCCATAAAAACCACTGTAGATTTATATATTAGTATAGATTGACTTGTCTAGATTGTAAGCTGATGTGAATTACAGGTTCCTTCCAACATTGGAGGGTCCGATAACGCCGTGGTTCAACATGATCCGCCGCCACCGATTAAAGCTCTGGTGGGACAACTTGCACCGCATCAAAGAGCTCGCCGAACCGGAGAAAATACAAAAATTTGTTGATAAAAAATAACGTAAGTCTAAAGTAAAAATGATGAGTGTAACAATGGTAGGTAAGTCGGAAACGTGGGTGCCGAGGAATTTGAAGAATAGGTTTTTAATAATATTATTTCAACTGAACACATGAATTTGGTGTTTTATAAAGTCTTTGTTTCCTCCTTCGAAACTGGACTTTTTTCTCAATAATACTTAAACCCTTTGACTGCCATATAGATCACCGGTGCCCTCCGCAGAGAGCTGAAGTAACTATGTCGATTTCTGTTACTAATGCTCCTGGATTGCCTAAATTTACCTTCTTTTGTTTTTAATGTATGTTTTTGTCTTTTAGGTCTCTTAGATTAATTCTCAGTATCTTCGTATTAGTCTTTCCCAGAACTACTAGATACTCCGACGCCTTAGTAACAGAAATCGACATAAATACCTTAGTGCGCCACGTAGGGAACCAGTGACTTACACAGCAGTCAAAGCGTTAAGAACCTAACAAATGTGTTTTCTGAATGTCTGACAACGGAAAAAATATGTGTGGTTTTTGTATATTCAGAAAGTTCTGGAATACTTTTCAAAAATGTCAAACAGACTTCATTACGTGTTCTAGTATCGGTCTATAGGGAAATGAGTTGATTTCAATAATTATATTATGTTTGGATGGAAAACGACACGTCGACACCCGCGTTTCCTACTAAGAGTAATAAGTAATATAGATTTTGTATCAGTGTTTTAGCAAGTGTACCCTTTTAAAACTAAATCTAATTTAACACCAATGTACGGGTCCATTCTATATGAGTAGACAAGGTATGTCACGTGACCGGGAGGAAAAAGGTTTATTAAATGGAAAAAACGATATTTTCATCATTACCGTAGATTGGGGGAAATCGGGACCCTTTCCAAATCCAACACAAAATTTCAATTGTTTTTCTTAGGGTAATACCAATAAAATTGAATTTAAAATGCTTCCGAAGACTTAATTTTTCATATACGCTGCGTTATTATACATAGTTTATTACAAAATATGTATACACAAAAAATGAAAAAACTAGCTTGACCAGATTCACCTTGGCTTTGGGGTGAATCAGGTTACGTATGGGGACAATAGTTTTTTTATAGGGCTGGCACTATTTAGTTGTTAGGTATATACCTAACTTTAGGTAATTAACTTTTTTAGTTGTACTTGTCGTAATTAAATTTAATATCTTTAATAAGTTACGAAACTTTGATGACTAAATAAAAGTCATTTTCAGTTCAACAAAGTTAAATCTAACAACTCAACAAAAGTATTGTGACATCCCATATTTGTCCCTATTCTAACTCTAGTCTCTATTCCCCCCAATCTACGGTACTTCTAGTTATGTTACACTACTATTTATGTATAACACATTGTCACATGTATACATAAATAGTATGTTAGAAAAAGAAATGCTGTGGTTGGATTATATATAGTTGTTTTTTCAACGGTGAGGACTGCATCCTTGATATTTGCAAACACTGACACAAAACCTCGTTTGGGATGGATAGTCTGCAGCTGCCCAGAGGCCTTTCCGGTTTCACCAACCTGTCTCGTTTTCTATTAATTATTTATCTTATATATAGTCTTGTAAACTCTGCATTTATTTAGTTTGAATATTATATTGTAGCGAATATTTACTATGTGTTTCTGAGTTTTGTTATACTTTGTAATACAAAATGATTCATGTAAACTATTTATAAATAAATTGTTATTCATTGTAATGCTAAATTATTTCCTATTATTTTATAGGTGAAGACCATCCACATTAATGACTAAATTATTGAGAGTCTGGGTGCTTAATAAAACTAATATTTAACGCAGTTTTTTTAAATTATATAATACTAGCGACCCTCCCTGGCTTCGCTTCGAAAACTGTAATTTATTATTGATTTCTCCACTATTTAATGGATGTTATTATACATATAAACCTTCCTCTTCAATCACTCTATCTATTTAAAAAAACCGCATCAAAATCCGTTGCGTAGTTGTAAAGATTTAAGCATACATAGGGATATAGGGACAGAGAAAGCGACTTTGTTTTATACTATGTAGCGATGTAATAATTAGTATTTATTTCCAAAACAACTGGTACATATCGAGGGGTGGAAGGCTGTTTGGTTTAAGCGACATTTTTGAAATTTTACAAGAGAACCATTTTTTTATTTATTTTTTAATTTGGAGAGAAAATACCATAACAAAAAAAAAACTTAATAGAAGTTCAATTAAAAACATCGAATTGTTGATGCTAATACCAAATAGAACGGACCTTTAATTACAAGATAAATTTATGTAATTAAATAATTGTAATTAAAATTAACCAAACAGCCTTTTACCCCTCGATTCTGTCACTTTTTTTCGAAATCGTTACCCATGCCATTATAACTAGGGCATTGCAGGGATTGACGAGCGAACGTTCTTGAAAATAATTGTTGATACGAATTGGACACGGTTCGGCAAAGTTCGTTTTTTTTTTTCAGTTAACATATTAGAATACAATTATCGGTTAACACAATTTTTTTTTATTGCTTAGGCTGGTGTACGAGCTCACGGCCCAAGTGTTAAGTGGTTACCGGAGCCCATAAACATCTACAACGCATATGCCGCTTTTTTTTTATGCCAACATATAACTAACTATACTTGAGCCCTTAGAACCTATATCTCAAGGTGGGTGGCGCATTTACGTTGCAGATGTCTATGGGCTCCAGTAACCACTTAACACCAGGTGGGCTGTGAGCTCGTCCACTGATCTAAGTCTTAAAAATAAAAAAAAATAAACCTAACTTCATATATAAGTTCTAAGGTCTCAGTATAGTTAATATTTCGAAACACGACACACATTATTCACATATAGGCTTCAGCATTTCATCGGAGCTGTTCTCAGATTTTGACGACTGTATCAGTTTTCTCGTAGTGCTATACGACGTGATCCACTGCAAAGTACGCGCTTGCCGAGGCTTCCTCTTACGGAACAACTTTCTTTTGACCGGTAACTTAGGCAGCTCAGTGTCAGTGGTCGAACGGAGCAAGTAAGCTTGGCACGTGATTTTGTTACCGACATGCAATCCGTTTCTGTACGCGGTGTGAAGATAACGAACCGCTATCACTTGTAAAATCTAAATGAAAATTAAAAAAATTATTTATCCAGTTCAATTTACCATCAATATATAATACAATAATTGTTTTGAAAACAGTTATTCGGTAAGAATGTAAAACAAGTTTTTATTATTATTAGTACCTAAAAAGTTTGGAGGATCTTATTTAATAACAATATTCCCGACAATTTATTTACCAGTTTAGTACTAACGTAGTCACTCCCGATCTTCTGTCTGATCGACATTGAAAAAACAGCTGTCTCGTCTTTATTTTTTTGACAAATTTAGACAGGACGATAATACCGAACCGTGCGAGCTCGCACAGGTAAGACATGTAGGTCTTACCCGTCTTAATTTACTGGTGATAAGGCATAATTTACTAATAGGTACTATTCACTCGCATTTTCTTTGCAGTTCCTCTTTCTGCAGCGATGCATTCAACTGTGAATTATTAACATATAGCTTCAATCTTCCCAAAAAAATATATATGTACTCAACAAAAACGTACAAATTCTATTTCACGTCCACTACAACAGTACACAAATATGCAGCAAAATAATTCAACTTTAAATTGATATAATGTGATATGATATAAATCTCGACTACGTAAATTACCATTGCCATAATTATAAGTGACATTACGGCGTTGAATCTCCAGGACACTGACATCATTTCGCTAATTAATTTTTCTTCACAACCAGCTTGCCATATAGTTAATTGTTTCTAGAAAATAGTTCCAGATTATGTTAAAATCAATTACACACTATGTGGGCTAAATTTTGTACATTATTTTCAAAATAGACTGAAGTAGATACACGATATTCGTTTGCCGCTAGGGGCGCTGTTCCAACTTTATACTGAATTAACTTTTACGCGATTGAAAAGTTAAAAAACTCACATTAGGCACACTCAATGCATTTCATTACTCGTAAAATGCGTAGCTACCACATATGTGGATACTGCATCCGTAATATCTGATCAAAGTTAGCAGTGCCAACTCAAGATAAACGCTAAAAGAAGAAAATTTTAATAATATGAAATACCTACGTACCTTGGGATTATATTTATAAATGGTACCCTCTTGCATCACCCCATGATGAATACAAGGATACAATTCATCCGTCGAACAACAACTATACGGTACGTTATCCGCAATAAATTTATGATTAATGCTGAAATATGTATAAAAATTACAATCACAAGAAAATCACGCAACAACATATTATTATAACAGAGTGCCCTTATTTTTTTAATTGAATTCTAGATTTTGTAAGGAAAATACATTCGCTAACATTTTATTTCGTTCCGTATTTTCTTCATTCATAAACCAAGGGATGTAAAACCATTCCTGATAGTTTACACGGCCGCAGCAATGGAAGCGAGTTTGTAGTCGATCAATGGCGACTTTGGAAGGTAGATGACTTGAATACCTAAACATTGCCTTCGTTATCCCTCCCTTGATTTTAGCTGTAATTATTTATGAAATAAGTTATTATTTACTTACACAATAAGTAGTGATTTTATACACTAACGCTAGTTTAATTAATAAAATAATCCCCGTCTGATTTCCCTTAGCTGCAGAGGAAAAAAATTGTGAGTGGATGCTGTGATGATAATTAATAACATGTTCCTTATATGACCCATCTGTTGGATTTGATGTAGCTGGACAAAATCAGGGTTGCTAACTGAGAAGTCTGGTTAGTCGTTACTCACCGACAGCCGATCCTGTGTGCTTAGTACGAGTTCCTTAACGTTCTCGATAGCGTAAAAGTTAAGCCAATTTTTTTTATTTTTTTATTTATTGCTTAGATGGGTGGACGAGCTCACAGCCCACCTGGTGTTAAGTGGTTACTGGAGCCCATAGACACCTACCACGTAAATGTGCCATTGTATGCAGTTGGAACAGCGCCCCTAGCGGCAAACGTACGCAAACGATCCCATTCCATACAAATATGAGCTAACTTTTACGCTATCGAGAACGTTAAAAAACTCGCACTAAGCACACTCGTTCTCGACGGGGTATGGTAGCGAGGAAAGGACCGTCTCACCTCGGCCACGCGTACTTCTATGAAGTTGTCTCATGTCTCGAAATTCGGGTACGGGTACTGAGCTACAGGGGTTTTAGTCAGGTCGATTCCAAATACAACGGTTCACGACCCCGTATAAATTAAAAATAAAAAGTTCGACTACCTAAAAAACATAAATAAAACAGCTTTTACGGTTAATTCCTCTATTTTTTAATTTGTTTATATTATTTCAGACGGTCCGAAATCTTTGGTTTTCTTTGTCTCACAGACGACAACGCGACGGTCGTAAAATAATAAAACAACATCAAAAAAGACCAGTTTAAACCGTAAAAGTAGTTTTAAGTATAAGAAAGCCTGTTTTACATATTTTTTTTACTAATATGATAAGAAGAATTTCATTTAAATAAAAAATAAATAAATTAAATAAACTTATTAGGTAAATTGTATTGCCATGCATAAGTGAAGCTAAGCTAAAAGCACAGTAATCAAATAGTATTTTAATTTATCAAATAGAATAACAGAAATTCTATCATGCTACTTAGGTGTTTTAATTTGATTAATTACCTCTGATTATGGTTGATTGTAGACCAGAGTAAAAAATGATAGCAAGAAATAAAATAACCATGATAATAAGCGCCCAAACATAATAAAACAATCCGTTTACGACATTGTATTCTTTTTTCGATAGTCCAGCTTTGAACAGCTGATATAAGCCGTACAACTGCAGCAAGATAGCTTATATTATAACGTGAAGTACAAAAAGTTCAGCTTAGTATATTAATATACTAGCTTTTGCCCGCGACTTCGTCCGCGTGGAATAGTTACTTTGGCATAACGCAAAATTTTACCCGCCTCTTCATTTACGTAGTAAAAATATTTTTGAATAATAGAATATTAAAGAGTTATTTAAGGTATCACACTTTTTAACCGACTTCAAAAGAGGAAGCTATCAATTCGACCATAATTTTTTATCTTTTTTTTTTTATTGCTTAGATAGGTGGACGAGCTCACAGCCCACCTGGTGTTGAGTGGTTACTGGAGCCCATAGACATCTACAACGTAAATGCGCCACCCATCTTGACATATGTTCATATATGTTCACCGATTTCACGAAAATGCTTGAACCGATTCTGATAATTCTTTTTCTTTTTTTTTATTCGAAAGGATAGACTTCCCGAATGGTCCTGTAATCATCAAAATCTGATGATGGGATCCTGGAGAAATCCAGAAAAATCTATAATTGTCAAAGCCTATCTTGAAGTGATTTGGGTGTTTCAACGAATAACGTCTTTATTTTGATAGCGATTAATATCATCTTTATAAAAACACCTTCGCAAATAATGCTTTATTTTAGAACAAACTTGGTTAGCATAAAAAACGTTATAGTGAGCCAACCTTTAAATATAGACATATGCTGTGGCGGGCTTTTTTTTTAAACTTTTAAAGAGGAACAATTTTTTCATACATTATTTTAGCGAAACTTAAACCATTTCCGCAGCGCACGCAGCGGAAGCTCTCAAAAGGGAAAAAATACCCTGATTTTGAAACATTCTTTATTGGTGCTCCGCTTGTATTGTCTTAGCGTGATGTTATAATAATATAGCCTTCCTCGATAAATGGGCTATCTAACACTGAAGGAATTTTTCAAATCGAACCAGTAGTTCCTGAGATTAGCGCGTTCAAACAAACAAACAAACTTCAGTTTTATAATATTATAATAGTATATATGAATTATATGACACTTTGGCTAGCCGGATATCTTATTGAACGAAATAGTTTTATTTTTCGATAAATAGTATGTGTTTTATTAGAAAATGAAGAACCATTAAGCAAATGAATCCTTATTAAAAATGTTTTTATTTTATTGCTTAGACGAGCTAACAGCCTGGTGTTAAGTGATTACCGAAGGCCATATACATCTACAACGTAAATGCCGCCACCTACCTCGAGATATGAGTTCTAAGCTCTCAGTTGTAACCGTACAACGGCTGCCCCGCCCTTCAAACCGGAACGCATTACTGCTTCACAGTAGGAGTGGGTAATATCGGTTTTGCCGCGTATCGAATCGTATCTATATATCGAGGATCAATATCGGATATTGAATCTATATATTGATGGATGCTAGTAGATTTTCTCGATTCATGATATTTGAGATTTGAAACGATACGCTGATATAATATCGTAGTAGATATAGATTTAAGTCAACGTTATACGGTTGGTTTTCTGATATCAATTTATAATATGATCATAAAGTAATAAAAATAACATGAAAATAAAAATATCAAAAAAACTTTCCTTCATGCTTTTACCAGGCTTAGGACTGGCTACATTATTTTCAGTTTTTAGTATTTTGTGTCTTAATTTAAAATTACAAAATATACCAAAAGAGTGTAGATTTCAAAAGTTTAATACAAACACAAGAAATAAACTCAATTATTTGGATTCAACTAAAAATAGAAAAANTTTTAATGACAAGAGATTCTTGTGTTTTCTGTGCAGAAATTTCAGACCAAAATTATAGTAGTACATTTTTACATCCTTAATTACTATACCTCTATAACGACAGCCATTATAGATCCACATCCTATGATAACTGGAATGGCATTACCATCTGGCCAACAAATAAGGTCTAATAAAGTACCTTCTTCGCTTCTTATACTTTCTGAAGTATTGACAAGCCAAATTAGGTAAAATATTACTATAGGCATACAAGCCATGAGGAACAATCTTAGATTATTAAATGATGACCATGTTAAATACATTTTCGATTTGAATTATAAAAATTTACTTCTAGCGTAATGTTCGTCTTTTTGATTAATGTTATTATGACTTGATTAGAATCTTTTAAGACTATTTTATGGTCTCCAAGCCGTTGACAGTTATATTGACAAAGCGAATGAATGAAGTCCACAAACTGTTCGCAGAGATCTGTGAATTTATAACTAAATTAAAGCAAACCAAGAGTATTGTTCAATTAAGTTTAGTCCCATTTTTATTAAGTTTCAAATTGTTTATTTTCCTTTGCCACTTCTTTTCTTTGCTTTTTAATAGCAAACACTAAATCTTCCATCGACAAATAAAATGTCTACTTCCCTAAGTAGGAAGTAGCTTTTCAACATTCCAAATTATTAAAAAACTTCATTGAATGTTAAAACTTGACGAAACTTATTCAAAATAAAATGTATGATTTAATTCTTGTGCATTTCAAGTTCGAAAACGAAAACCTAATATTTTGACATTTGACAGATGATAAACTACAAGTTCACAGTTCACAACAATACCTACCGTACTGATATGAAGAATTCCATTGTGTTAAAATATTTTGATAATTAAACGAAAAAATGTGTATCACAACATTGTAATCAATTCAAATTTGTAGTTGTTATAATTTTTTTTGTTTGTTCATTTAAAGATTAATTTATTCGTAATATGATAAATAAACTACAATTCAAACTATGGGTGCTGAGGTTCTGTTTGAAAATAGTGTATCCAAAGTTCAATTTCTACACATTCCTCGTATTCCTAACAATAAAACATAGAATTTGGTATGAAAGAAGATTACGTGGAGCTAAAATAATGGATCACTTCACTATTAAAAGCGTACCAGCGCACATCGTGCAATCACTTGTGAAAAATAATTTGGATAATAATCCAGCTATCGTTTTAAACAAATGCATTGTTATCTCTAAAGAACAGTATATACAGTTGGCTAGTGAGAACTTGTTTTACGTAGACAGAGGTGTTCTTTGGCTTTCTTTAAAATTGAGCACAAACTATAAAAACAAGCACAAACGTAAAAAACAGCACAACACCAAAGAACATTTACATAAATTTGCTTTTATGACTTCTGAAATACACAAAAAGTTATGGGCCGATAGAACAGCAGATGATATTGAGAACATTAGAATAGTCCCTGTTGTTGGATCTAAATTGCTCAAACCTGACATTGGTTTTGTGACAGAAAATGAATTACACAACATGTCCTCATGTTTTGGATTGAATGATTTTAATGATATTGAAATAACTTTTCACCCTGTACCTTCATTATTATGCTCACCAAAAATTGCCATTACTGCTGAAGTTAGCTTACTTTTGAATGATTATGATTTAGACAATGATTTCACCAAGGAGGTTCTAACTAACCATTTTGAAATTCCAAGACTGGTCAGTATTAATGATGTGTTTAGCATTGAACTAACACCAACAATGACAACCAAATATCATTGTAAATATTTAGATCTGGTAGAGTCTACTGGAAAACTTTATTTTAAATGTACAAAGCTAACAAGTGATTTAGAAATAGATGGAAACCCCACAACCAGTAATAACAAAGTAATTAAACCATATTTTATTATCAGACGTGTGACCCAACTAACTTTAGGAGAGAATATTCATGCAACAAAGCCACAAGATAAATATTTCAAGCCACAAGGATTTGATGATAATTTACACATGCTAGAACTCTGCCCAACTGGCTTAAAGCATATTTTTAATCAAATTCAAGAGACCATTTCACCATTTTTAAATGAAGATTTAAGTAAGTAATTTTAATACTAATACCCAACTTATAAACCTAACTAATATCTTGCTATCAATTAAAAATGTATAGTACTTGTTTAAAGAATAATGTTAAAAATAATTTGTTTTTTATGTGCTTTATGGTTCTACCTTAGAAAGAAAAAGGTTAATTGTGACAGTTTCTATTTCTTTTCAGGTGACCTCTCATTGTTTTTATCAAGTCCGATTATACCAATGCTAGCCTTAACCGGCTGTTTGGGGTCTGGAAGACACTTAGTTGTAAAAACATTAGCAAAATATAATGGTTTGTGTTTGAATACAATACTGGAAGCTACAAGACTAAAGTGATGTGTTCTGTGTTACATTTTGTACACTATTTTAAATGTAATAGAAAATAAAATTGTCAAAATTTCAGGAATTAATTGCCTCTCTATTGATTGCAATGCATTACAAAGCTCAACAGCTAAGCAGACTGAAAGTAAAATTAATGCAACCATACAAAAGGCAAAGGCCGCAGCACCTGTCATTGTGTTACTAGATAATTTTGAGGTACTAAATAACAATACATTTAGTATAATTTTATGTAAACTATTATCTGAAATAACTGAACTGTGTACAATATTTTAAGTCAGTCTTGTAGCCCATGCTAAACTTACTTATACTAAATAATCTAGTCATTAATTTGTTTACAGTCTTACCTATTTTGTGTGGTCAAACACAATAGATTGATTATTCAACTTCTGCAGTTGCAAGAAAGCTAACATTGTTCCCTAGACGTAAAACTTTAATGGAAAACTGTAATATCTAGTAAATATTGAAATAATGTAAAAAGATGTTCGAGAAATTTTCATTTAACAATTAGTCTTAACAAACCTATTTTTATGTGTTAAGCATTCTTAAGTAAAATTCTATATTTCAATGTATGTCAAAACTTTTTAAGAATACGCATTTTGTAGAATATTCTGAAAAAAGGCTGATTAACTTCCTAAAATAATCAGGTAATGGATACAATGTTGAACTATTACTAAAGTGTTAATATGTATTGTAATTTCTAGGTATTTGCAATAGATGCAGAAAACAATGAGGACTGTAGAGTGATTGAATACTTTATGAACACAATCACTGATTTATATCAGAACTACACAAAGCACCCTATCATATTCATTGCTGTGACGAAAGACATAGAATTTAAACCGAACATAAGTAGGCTGTTTCTAGAAAAGTTTCACATACCGAAATTGAATCTTAGACAGAGATATGAGATGCTAGACTGGTTTTCCAACGTAATGAGACTAAATATAGATGGTGCAGAGCATGTGAAAGCAAATGAGTTATTAGTAAAACAAACACCAGTGAATGTAAATAGTCAGAATGTTTTACAAAGGGTGGCAGCGAAGACTGAAACGTTTTTGTATGGCGATTTGGACACATTAGTGCACTTCGCGACTAGAGAGTCGTATTTGAGGCAGCACAATAATTATAATCAACTACCGCCCGATCCTGACTTGCGGTTAATAAAGGAAGAAGATTTTAACTCGGCTTTAGGTAAGCTGCGAAGTGTGGGGTTCGCGGGTTTTAATAAAATGCACATCTTAGTTGCACAATGCTATATTTCAGACTGACTTACTAATAACTTACACACTACAAAGCAATACAAGAGGTTTCGTGTTATATGTTAATGTTACTAATCGTTAAGCTTTGGAATGAGCTCCCCTCCATGGTGTTTCCCGAGTACTATGACATGTCCTTTTGCAAAAGAGGCCTGTGGAGAGTACTTTACGGTTGACAGCGGCTTGGCTCTGCCCCTGGCATTGCTGAGGTCCGACGGTAACAATTCACCATAAGGTAGACCGTATGCTAGTCCGCCTACAAGGCCAATAAAAAAAAAGCTTGCTTGTGAAAACATTTTAAAACGATCTTAGAATTACAAACCTCACTAACAACTGAATAATTCAGAACGTACCAACCCTTGATCCATCAGATATTTGCATGAAGTGCCAACCCTAATATTTTAATAATTTTACGAATGTAAAAAATGAGAAAAATGTATAAGATTTCGTTTTCTGTCATTTCGGCTCGACATCTTGAAAAACATTTAGATAATACTATAGACTTACTGGTGGTAGGACCTCTTGTGAGTCCGCGCCGGTGGGTACCGCCACCCCGCCTATTTCTGCTGTGAAGCAGTGATGAGTTTCGGTTCGAAGGGTGGGGCAGCCGTTGTAACTATACTTGAGACCTTAGAACTTATATCTTAAGGTGGGTGGCGCATTTACGTTGTAGATGTCTATGGGCTTCAGTGACCACTGAACACCGGGTGGGCTGTGAGCTCGTCCACCCATCTAAGCAATAAAAAAAGTCTTACTTAGATGAATAAATTTTTTGGATGTTTTCAGAATCAATAAGAAAGCTACAAAGTCAACATTTGGACGCGCCGAAAATACCTAAAGTGTACTGGGATGATATCGGAGGGTTGGAGAAACTAAAAAAGGAATTACTTAAGACAATACAGCTTCCTATTAAATACCCACACTTGTTCAAAAACGCGAGCCTCAAAAGATCAGGTAATGCATAGGATCGTCGTTATTTTTATATAATCGGCAAACCTCACATTGGTACTACTAGAAATGGTATTTTACAAAAAAACACAAAAGTAGATATTAGATTTATTCAATACTTGATGGCGTCACATCTTTCGATAGTGCGAATTTTTTAACGTTCTCGATAGCGTAAAAGTTAACTCGAATTTGTATGGAATTGGAACAGCGTCCCTAGCGGCAAACGTAGGCGAACGTTCCAACTCCATACAAATTTGAGTTAACTTTTACACTATCGAGAACGTTCCAAAACTCGCATTAAGCACACCGTTTAACATAAAAAATTATCTACGTACATATTAAGTATAAATACGTATAATAATAGAAATGACGTTTTGGTTATCTTCAGTAATTTGAAATGTTTTTTTTTTTCGTTAATCGATTTTCCTCTCAGCTTATTTAGAAATTTAATACTAGCGATGTATACGTATCTCTTTATAGGCATACTGTTGTACGGGCCTCCAGGTTGTGGAAAAACGTTAGTAGCAAAAGCAGTAAGCACGGAGTTGAATGTGAGCTTTCTCAGTGTCAAAGGTCCCGAGCTACTAAATATGTACATCGGTCAGTCCGAAGAGAATGTTAGAAAAGGTTTGTAACCTCTTTAGTACACTTCATCTATGTAAATAGTTTGCGCTTTCTATTGACGGCTTTTATTACACGGTAAAACTAGTACACGGTAAACAACGAGTAGTACACGGTATACAACAAGTCCAGCTTCGTGACGCACGTCTGTGACGGGGGTAATCATCATACTCCTCCTCCTCGAATCGTGTTCCTCATGTCTGAGGGTCGTGACCACCATCACCCATCTTAAGATGTTTTTCCACTTTCCCCTGTCCACGGCGTCATGCAGCGCGCTGTACACTGTACTGTCCAAAGCGGTGCGGATCTGATCGGACCAACGAGTCGGGTTGCGGCCTCTAGATCTGTTGCCTTCAACTTTCCCTGTGATCATAAGTTTTTCCAGGTTATCGCCGTCTTTCCTCGCAATGTGATCAAAATATTCGAGGATCCGCTTCAGACATACAGTAGACAGTCTGATTTTGATGCCCAGTTGCTTCAATATCGACACGTTAGTCCGGAAGGCTGTCCACGGAATTCTTAGCATGCGTCTCCAACACCACATTTCGTCATACATCACAAGATATTTGACAGACGCCTGAATCTCGCTTACAACATGTTCAAGATATCCTTGCATATAAACAAGTTCCGTACAATAACATACCTCACGTCATTTCGGATCCTCCCGATCCACTAACGGTGCTTTTAGGTACGCCAAGCACCGGTCATCGTTCTCGTCGAAACCGTCGCTTGCGACGAAGGGCTCGACGAGTAAATTAACCCACAGACACAGTCCACTGAGTTTCTCGCCGGATCTTCTCAGTGAATCGCGTTTCCGATCCAGTGGTAGATTCTACGAAGCACGGCTCTTGTTAGCAACAACCTCTGGCTTGAACCCCGCGTGCTCACCTACTAATTCAGTGAATCTAGAATAACCCCTCGAAGTTACTAGAATAGGTAAAAAAAAGAATGGGGTACCCATCATACAGCACAAGATAGTTGACAGACGCCTGAATCTCGCTTACGTCATTTTCAAGATAGGCTTTATTTCTTTTCCAATTTCGAACAACAACATTCGGACTCTGTGGAAGATCTTCCCTTTGTTGTGTAACTCCACACCTCTATCTACTGGTGTATACTTTATCGATACTGGTGGTAGGACCTCTTGTGAGTCCGCACGGGTAGGTACCACCACCCTGCCTATTTCTGCCGTGAAGCAGTAATGCGTTTCGGTTTGAAGGGTGGGGCAGCCGCTGTAACTATACTGAGACCTTAGAACATATCTCAAGGTGGGTGGCGCATTCACGTTGTAGATGTATATGGGCTCCAGTAACCACTTAACACCAGGTGGGCTGTGAGCTCGTCCACCATGTCACCAATCAAGCAATAAATAAATAAACTATCTCCTTGAACAGTCTTCGAGTCTGCACGCGCATCATCTCCGTGCATAATATTCGTGGACGAGCTGGACGCGCTGGCGCCGCGCCGCGGGGCCGCCGGGGACTCCGCCGGAGCCAGCGACCGCGTCGTCAGCCAACTGCTCGCTGAACTCGACGGGGTCAATACCTCGGGAGGTACGCTGCATGTCTTTTCTTTTGGCCCATGAAAATCGCCAGACCTGTAAAATCCCTTTAAGGTTTTAAAATCCTTCACTGGTAATATTCTGCGCAATCTGAAGGCTAGGATTGCTCTATTAAAAATCTACTTATACATACCTGTTCTACGATATAAACCGAGAGCTCGCCAGTTTAAATAATGGCTTTAAAAAAAAAGAAAGCAGACCCAACGCAACCAAGACAAGGGGAGACAGGGGTCGCACTGTGATGCGCTAAATATAAAATAAAAATTTTAGTAGCCACCAAAAAGGTTTGAAAGTACCTTTTTTAATCCACCCAGTGATTTAAACATGCTCACTCAGTTGTCATTCCGATCACCATCCAACCTGAGACGAAGTGTCATTTCAATTTTAATCTCATTTGTATAATGGCTATCCCGCCGTTCGAATCGGAATGCATTCTGCTTAGTCACCGGAATTGAAAGAGTTGTACCTGTCTCTGCTGGCCTAAAATAAGCTCTTACACCAGTGTACTCATGGCTTAGTTTCCCGTGAAAACGTAATGCTCTCACTTATAATTGGAATTCCGTTCTAGATGAAGACACGTCCAGTTTCGTGTTCATAATGGGCGCAACGAACCGGCCCGATTTACTCGAACAATCTCTGCTGCGGCCCGGCAGACTGGATAAGCTCGTCTACGTGGGGCCCTACTGTGGGACGCGAGAGAAGACATCAGTGCTCGAAGCGCTTTGTAGGAAGTGAGATTTAGTCGCTAACAATTAATCTTACTTAAACACCACATGACCATGAGCCCAGATAAATTGTAACTAATTCTATTGTGCTACCAACTATAGTTATTTTTCAAATAAAATAAAAACCCGTACATTCATTCGCTTTGAGCTTATAATATGTGCGCAAACCCGATCGCTTCGACCGACTGCTAATATGCAGGGCCGCCCCAAGGCAATAAGGGCGTCGACACCGAAATTATTTATTTTACACTTACACAACAAAATATTCTTTGTAGTGGAATATTATAATGTAAAAAGTCTTGTAAATAACAAAACATATAAGTTTCCCAAAATTTACATCAAAACAATAAGTCAAAATTGACAAATAAAAAAATAAAAAGAGAGAGAGAGTGAGAGAGAGAGAGAGAGAGAGAGAGATTTTTCAGCATGTCGTATACGTACCGGGAGAGCATTCCACAAAAGAATAGCTTGAACAGTAAAGGAATAATCGTAGAACCTTGTCGAAAGCACTGCAATGCAAAGCAATACATTGAAACATTCGTAAAAATAGGGGGCGCTTTTTGGGTTTCACACACAGGCGCAGCGACGGTCTACGCGAGCCTGCTAATATGTACTATGTCGCAAAATGGCAGACATCTTTTGACATAGTGGGCGTCTAGTGGGTAGTCGTGCAATGAGATTGCGTAGCACAAAACGGTACGACAGTTCCGAGACGTCATCACTCTTCCTAAGTCAAATTCTTAGTCTCTTCTTCCTTCCAAATAACTACCAAAAAATACATTAGGAACCACAAATTATTATGTACATATACGTACAAGGCTCGCTCTACTTTCAGGTACAAACTAAGACCCGAAGTGAATTTGGAAGCCGTCGCAGAGGCACTACCCGACAAGTGCACCGGCGCTGACTTACTGCAGGTTGTCTCTACTGCACGGTCAGCGGCCGTGAGAGCACTCGTTGCTAAGTTACACAATGGTACGAAACAAATAATTGTTTTTTTTTTGTTCAAAAGAAAATTCAAGAATTAACTAATTGAACATTTTTTTAACAAACACATGACACCCATTCCACCATAAATCATAACCCAAACTAAGACTTATGAAATGACACTAGCAGTATTTTTTGTTAAAAGAGTATCAGAAACTCCTATCATAAGAATAGGTAACGTTAATATCATAAAATTTCAATTTTATTTCTGACTCATTATTATGGTAGTCATGATGGAAAAAGTTCGGTTTAGGGTATTTAGGCGATATTTTATTTTTAAAGATAGAGAATCGCTATACATTGTATAATTGTACAATAAATTAAAACTTTTTTTTTAAAGATGTTTTATGACCTGGTAACTGAGACCTTTAAGTCATGTCTTATTTTAATCTATATTCTTAATTTTATGAAAAATGATATTATGGAGTGAAATGAAATGAAAATGATTAATTTGAGACATTAATCAACTGGGATGAAATCAAATGAGATGATATGAGATGAAATCTAATCTCAGTAAAATGGTGGTAATTTACTAAGATTTTTCAGTGGACTTTTTGGAGGATCCCGAGAAGTTACGTCTAGCGGCTTTGTTTCATTTTCCCACATTTGTGCACTTTCACAGATATTAAACGGTTAATAAACCACCATTATTACACATTTAAACCCGAAGAAACACTAAATAGACAAAATAAAACAAATCGCACAACTTCACTCCTCGCGTTCCCGCCAAAAAGTCCAATTAAAACTTAAACCATTTAAAACCGTTCTACCTTCTTAAATGATTTTAACAATATAGCCAATACCTACAATACCTAAATATATAATATGAATTCATAAATAATGTATAATAATAATTATTTTCAGGAACGTTAAAGGAAAGCGAGCTGAGCCCCGACTCCATCGTTATAGGGGTAACTGAACTATGGGAGGGCGTTGTATCATTCCGGCCCTCGGTCACAGACGATGAACTGTCGCATTACGAAGCGATGGAATCACAAATGTGAAATAAACCGTTTTCTAGTCTACTGGTCTTTTTATTAATATATGTATTTTGTTTTATTTTTGCGTTTTTGTTCTCTTATTGGGCGTTATCTTTGTTGCGTGTGCTGGGCGCCTAAGAATACCCCCAACCCAAACTTAGCTCATGGGTGTCGTAGCAGGCGACTAAGAGCCAAAGCCAGACCAAAGCACGATGCAAGCAATATGGGCACAAATCAAAGGACACGCCACCCGATCCTCCTTTTACGGCAAACAAGATGTTAGATTTATTAAAATATGCATGTGCCGAAATAACCGTCGAACACTGGGAAAAAATTGTGAGAAGAACCCAAAACATTATAGCGTCGGATTGGGAAATTCATGTGGCATTCGATAATATAGAAGTACAGGAACTTATAATAAATTTTGGGGAGAGCTCATCGAGTGACAGTGATGATTTATCAGATTTTGATTAAAATAAATAAATAAAGAACCAACATAATATAATTACATCTTGTAATGAAAAGTAATAATAGTTAATAAATTTGTACAAAATTATCCGCCAATAGTTTAGTTTCTTACACTTTGTAAAAAAATATCGGGTCTGTTATCGTGTCTTACGTTTATCGATAGCTCCATGCCTATTAGTCTAGTCGACAAGTTGAAAATGGTACAAAATAGAGATAATGCTCTTAAAATTATGTGCGATAGCTCATTGGATCCGGAATGACGCCTAGAAAAATGTGCCAAAAGTGTGCATTAGCACATAAAAAATTACAAAAGTTGTAAACAATTAAAGATGAAAAAAAATGGCATTTTGTTTTTTGCCAATATTTCATAAACTATTTAAGATAGTATAGTATTATAGATATTTAAGAAATTAAAAAAAAAGATTCTGAAAGAGGAAGAAACTTCCTATAAAAAACTCCTAACTCCCGGAAATCTATCTCCATTATTTATAATTTTAATTTAACGCTGACAATAGGTCTGCGCGCGACATATTTAGGTTGCGCGCGTGGCGTCAAAAGCGAGTACGGCACATTAATTAATATATTTAGGTATTGAATTTCTTTTTTTATTTGAAAAAAATATGGTGTGTTCTGAACACTATAAATAATTTATTCCCGTTGGAAATTTTACTTAAAGTAAATTTTTCAACAAGTTAAACAATTGTTAACTAACAAAATTTTCTTGAACTACCGTCTTAATTGTAAGTGAAAAAAAATGTTTAAATAATGGTCGTAAAAAATTTTCACTTCGTAAAGCATTTCTTACATACAGACTTAGCAAGATAGTAGCATAAAAGTTAAAAGAAAAAAACTTCAGAGGTGTCAAGGGACACCCGGATGGAACGAAGTTCCTTTCGATTAATTAGTGAAGGAATTGTAATTTTTTTTTAAAGTTATAATAATAAATTACGGCATTATGAAGAAGAAAAAAACAATACTATGAACTAAATTACTATAGTTGAAACGCTATCTCGAGAAACTGTACTCATTACGCGGACCAATCGGATACGAGCAATGTCACGCGATAAGCGCCTACACATTGATTGGTCAGAATGACGGATCTAAAAAGTGTCGTGACAACTTTTCGTAAGAGTTTTTTCCGTCTAGCCCCCTTTCACAACGCGCGTTAAGGAACTTCGTTCCAATAATTATACTTTGTTTATAACAATTTTTTTAGTTAGGAGTTTTTTGATGGAAATTTCCTCCTCTTTCAGAATCTTTTTCTTAAATTTCTTAAATATCAATAGTTTATGAAATATTGGCAAAAAACCAAATGCCTTTTTTTTCATCTTTAATTGTTTATTTCTTTTGCAATTTTTTATGTGCTAATACTCGCTTTTAGCACATTTTTCTAAGCGTCGCGTCATTCCGGAGTCAATGAGCTATCGCACATAATTTTAAGAGCAGTATCTCTATTTTGTACCATTTTCAACTTGTCGACTAAACTATATCCGTTTGTCGGACTCTGCTATGACTTTGTACGTGCGTAAGCGTCATATTTTTATTAATTAACAATAATTACATTGTATGTATACAGACCGCCACCCTGCCTATTTCTGCCGTGAAGCAGTAATGCGTTTCGGTTTGAAGTGTGGAGCAGCCGTTGTAACTATACTGAGATCTTAGAACTTATATCTCAAGGTGTGTGGCGCATTTACATTGTAGATGTCTATGGGCTCCAGTAACCAATTAACAGCAGGTGGGTTGAGCTCGCCCACTCATATAAACAATAAAATAAGTCTTCAATAAAAGTAATAGAACATGTTTTTTTTGTTCTTACTCAATAATTCAATAATAAATTACTCAATAATAGTATATAACCTAATCAAACAAACTTCCACACAAAATCACATAAGTAGAAAGTGAACAAAGGAAAAAAATAAAAAATTATATATTTAAGTTTACAAACAATACATGCATATACGTAACCACTTCTGTATATACATATAAATACATTTTAACATACTAATGCCTCGCTTCGGCTTTATATAGGTACCTATTAAGTGACACCTTGTATAATATGCATTATATATTATATGCCTTCATTTACCATTTTTTAAGAAAAAATTATTTTTTAAAACCTCCAAATCTCCACAGACATTTAACAAACAAGTCTAGTTCAAATTGTAATCCTTTAGCGTGTCCAAAATTCGCAGGTGCTTTCTAGTGGTATTAGTGGTAATGAATTTTAGGGAATAGGCTATTCTATGTGTAAAATACAAAGAGGCCAAAGGTACAGCTTCTCTATTTAGTCTGTGCAAAAGTAACAAAGGCTACCTGTTTATTATCTATAGTTTCTTTCCAATTCAAAGATGGTGAGTGGCTTGTACAATTTATTTAATTTTATTGAAATTACACAAAGTTAATCTTCTTATGATTAATGTCCAAAGCTAAACTTGTGCATAACTTAATAATGCATCGTTATTTATCAATGCATCCTAATCAGTGTATTCGAAAGTGTTTACGATGAATTTATCACGAAACCTCGTGGCGAAATTGTTATCGTGATGATATTTGTGCTTTTAGCCGCCCAAGAAGGACGCGAAGGCTTCGGCCAAACAGCCTCAAAAAACACAGAAGAAGAAGGAAGGATCCGGTGGCGGCAAAGCAAAGAAGAAGGTAAATATTGGAAAAGTCACTGAAGTGAGGTTATCTCGAATGTGTTAAATTAAAATTTAACAGATCACCATATATTTATTATAAATTACCATTACGTAGTTTTAAATTGTTGATATATATGTGTAGATAGAATTTGAAGCTACATCTTATAATTAAATTAACAACGGTGCCATGTGATTACACATAATAAAACTTGAAATATGTGAGAGTACAAACTGATATATTGAGTCTGATGGCAATAATTCTAAAACCTCCTGAAAATAAATCATTTACAAAAACGCTAATATTGAGTTAATAATTTGCAGAAGTGGTCCAAAGGAAAAGTTCGTGACAAGTTGAACAACCAGGTGTTGTTTGATAAACCCACATATGAGAAACTGTACAAGGAAGTCCCACAGTACAAGCTAATCACACCTGCTGTCGTATCTGAAAGATTAAAGGTCCGAGGTTCCCTGGCGAGAAGAGCACTCATCGAACTTAGGGAAAAAGGTTAGCTATCGGTGAATTGTTTTAAATTGAAGAATATATAATATATAATTAATATCGTGTAGCCTTGATATTCGACTAATGGCGTAACTTGCTACCGAAATAACAGCAATTTAAATTGAACATGCTTTATGATTAAGTGGCAGTTTAACGGAACTAAAAAGCGAAGACAAGCGCTACTACTAAAGATTAACCTAAACTACAAATATCTTATATATAAAAAACTACACAACTGGCACTTCATTAATGTAGATGGCCAGACTAGCAGTTCATTGGTCACATGGTGTATTGTGGTCCCTGATGCAAATATACAACAAATTATGAATTATATTTGATGTTAGACTCGATTCTTTTATAATACAGTAGTCTTATGTTTTAAAATGAAATGTAATAACGCTTCAAGTAAAAACAGAGACTGTATAGTCCCATCACTAAATTTACAATTTGTTGTAGGTTGTAATAGATGAAATGTGTTTTTATGTTTATATGATGAAGTAGAAACATTGCAAAGTTGGCTTGACATTTCAAGGAATTGTTTTATAACAATATGGTCAACAGACTATGTTTTTTCAATACATCCATTAATATTCCATATATACAGTTTAGTACTGTTTCACTAGATGGTTACAAAAATAGATACGTCATGTGATATCAAAATATGTCATGCCATAGTCATCCATGTTAAATGTACTACATGCTCTTAATAGTCTTAAAATAGTTTCCCGCTTCTTTAAGAGTATTGCTTTGGTTATTTGATTGAAACAATCCCTATATATGAAGATATTTTTCAGCAGAATATTGACAGGATTCTAACAGTTATCATATTAATTTGTAATTAAAACTATTGTTACTGTTTTGTTCTATTACTTTTTATCTTGCAAAGTTTTGAATGCATTACAGTTTTAGGCAGTGTTAGGCTGTCAGTAAAAGTGATTTTAATTAGAGAGTTACAAGTTCAGAAACCCAAAGAAAATGCTTTATAAAAGCTTATTGCAACCTCTAAATAAGGCTCTCCAATAAATAATAATACTATAAGGAGAAACAAACATATTATTTCAAGAAATTCATAAAGATGATCATGATTACAAAACAATTATTCATTCTTCCTTCAATGTTCCAAAATAAAGATCAAGAGATATAGTATTTAATGACACTGCTATAATCTACCCAATGAAATTCAAGCAATACACATACAATCGACAAAAACATTTAGATTTTTCGACTAAATATGATGAATCATTTAACTGGATAAACCATGACAGCATTAAAACTGATATATTGAGACTGATCACAACTGTAACGATGAATTAGTTTTTAACTTTAATCTGACTTTTTATTAATCTGTAATTATTTCATGTGCAGGTCTCATCAAACAGGTAGTCCAACACCATGGGCAGGTGATCTACACGCGTGCGACCAAGGGCGATGATCCAGTCGCATAAACTATGATATAAGTTAAAAAAAATAAAAACAAAAAAAGACAATTTCATTCTTTTATTCTGTTTAAAACTTCGTCTAGATTTCACACTTTTACTAAAAAATTTCATGAACCACAAGACATTAGGTACCTATTTGGAAATATTAAAAAAGTTTTGTTAAAGCATTAACATCAATTATCGCACAGCAATTTTGTATTTGTCATCGAGATCAATGACAGCAAATCTAGCAGACGGATAAAGATCACGCAAACGATCCTTTAATTTATTGGCATGTACCTCGTTGGCAGTCTCTACCACAACATTCACCTGTAAAATGCGGAATAGCCTTGATTCCCCGGAAGATCGTACAAATCGCGAATAAAGTATGTTATTTCACTAGGAACCAAAATGCGCTCAGGGTGCATGACCTACGACCTTATGGCCTAGATGGTGACGAATAGTTATCGAAACCATTGACGCCAGCAAATCAATCATAGCTGACGTTCATGAGCTACGATAACCAGTAACCAAGTGAACCTTATTCTCATTGACTTACAACGGAAATGAATAAAACACTTCTATCAACATTTTTGTAGTTTCGAATTAAAAATATCGAAATTCTGACCATAAACACTGATACGTTAAGATTAAAATTCATTTATTAGATTACATTTGTCGTACCCGTTTATAAAGAACAGGTAGGTATTGAAAAAAAAAACGAAAAAAGAAAATCGGTGGCACAGAAAATTAAATGTCTATATAAACAGATATGTATGTACAGAAATAAATGTTTGAGAATAAGTTGATAATTTTAATCGACAAATGGTTACCCATCTTGAGCCATTTTATGCCTATTAAAAAAAAATGTTATTGTGACAGTTATTATTTTACTGTTCGTTATATTTAAAAATAGATCTCATTTAGTGCGAGATTTCGATTCCACATTCTACAATCAAATTTCTTACCCAAGTAGAGCCAACATCGCTGTGCACCCACATTTGCTCAGTAACAAGACTCTTCAGAACGGCATTCTCATTTGCGATCGTTTTAGCGAGGTGTTCCAGTCCCGATCGATGGTCGGGCACGGCAACCGCAAACCGAAGGAGTCTACCGCTAGCACCGAGCCCACGTTGTATAGAACGAGACAGGCGACCCGAGTCTACGTTTCCACTGCTCAGCACACATACCGCCCTTGATGCAAATCCATTTTTATTAATTACTAGCGACCCGCCCTCGCTTCGCTTCGGAAACATTAAAACACACATGAAACCAAAAAAATAAAATAAAAAAAATAAAAAAAAGTAGCCTATGTTCATCAGGGACAATGTCGGCTTCTAATGGAAAAATAAATTTTCAAATCGGTCCAGTAGTTTCGGAGCCTATTCGAAACAAACAAACAAACAAATCTTTCCTCTTTATAATATTAGTATAGAAGAAAGATGTGTGGTGTCGTGGGACACCGAATAGGAACGAAGTTCCTTATTATAAAAATATTAATTTTAAGTTCTATTCGAGGTATAAAGAAAATAAAACTGAAGGTTTCGCAACAACCTACGGACATTCGGTAACGTGCGAACTTATTGTGGTACACTTCATTCACGGTTGTTTGCATAACAGTTAGTGTATTGCGCAAACGAACGCTCTGAGATCGTGGTCAATGAATGATAAAAAAATATGTTATTTTTTGTACGTTATTACAAAGTTAAGTCGTACACTGTGCATTACTAATAAAAATCTTACGTTACGGACTTTTTTCCGGTTAGGGTACCCCTCCGCATTGTCCCATAACGAACTTCGTTCCAAAAAAAACCTTATTCTATCTTACAATGAAATAAAAGAGTTAATTTTTTTTCTATGAAACGAAAATATTTTGTAAGCAAAATTAAAATGTTCTTATCCGAGGCTGTCAGCGCAAAAGTGACCTAACGCACAATTTTTCATATTCGTGCTTATATATTGCAATTTACTTAAAACATAATAAAATTTGATCGAAAACCTGTCTATTCCTGGTTTCACCCATACATAGTAGATGGTTTCGAAAACATTGTTTTTGGGCGTATTGTTTTTACCTACGAAGCAGTATAAAAGTAAATTCAAACTTCATTATCTATGGTCAGCTTAGGCCACTTTTCCACTGACGGCCTCAACTATACGCTTACCGTTTTCCACGGAGCTCTGGCACTAAACCTTGCATTACAGCTGCCACAGCACAGACTCCAGCGCAGTCCGTTACAAGCCGTTCCCGTTCTAATACTGATATCATAGCACGGGCGATATATGACTCTTCAACTACCAACTGAAACATTTCAATATATCCAAGGTGATTTAGAGATATTAGTCTGTCTCCAGACTTTTACAGATAACTTATAACTATACAGGAAGTCTAATAAATTGAACTTAAAACTCCTTATCGAAAAAAACAGATCACATTCTATTTTTACTGTCAGGAAGTTAACACGACCAAGTAACACAATTTCATTTCATTATGTTTTTGTACCTAATTAATACGAGCGAAATTATACGCATATTAATATATTTTATGAAAGCTAAGCAGATAAGTCAATTACATCAAAGAAGTATAGCATCTCAAAAGGATTTTTATTATATTGCTGTATATGGGCAATGTTAAGATTTATGGAGCATGTTGAACGGTTAATTCATAAACATCACGTACCTCCTGGTACTGGTAGTAGGGCGTATAGTGTAATAGCAGACTCGCGATTTAGTACTTTGTACTGTAGTAGTACCTACTGCTTTAGATTTTACTGTGATACAGTGGCAGGTGGACAATCCCTGCGACCTCTACATAGCAGGTAGCTAAACAAGCGAACAACAAAAGCCACTGGCGTCACGACCAGACAACCATAAATGTTACTGAATGCGTATTTTTTTAAAAGTTAGTGCACTATCGCTTCAACGTAATCGCCATTTTTTACGAGACAATGATTTTACTAATGACATTAGAACTCGACCAGGAACATGTTAAATCAAACTAATTCGCTATCGGAGATTAATAAGACAAAATCACCATTCTATCAAGTCGTCCTTTAATAGTAGCAAAAGTATTGTCTCCTACTCTAGAAGCGTTAAGTCCCTCTGCAAGATTCGAGACGATCGGCACGGAGACTGGTTTACCAGCCTGAAGTGCCTTCATCATCTTTGGCACTTTTGCACATTCAGCACCCTAGAAAATATCATAATAAAAATTCGAGAACAAAAACGTTCTACATAATAATAATAATTACCCCAAAAAAAATATTTTTACCATGTTTTTGCATGGCACAATTTTAAATACATGTCGGATTATTCAGAAGTTTTTGCAGGACGAAACATCAGACGAAATTAAAACTGAACATGAACTCCACTTGCCTTAGGTCCATGGTTTTCAGTATTTAACGAAATTCATAAAAAGTCGAGATTAGAAACTATGTACATAATAATAATAATAATTTTATAATAATAATAATAATAGTGGATACAAATTTAATGACATGCAGTTTAAAATAACTCTCAAAAACCGTTACTATTAAATCCAAGCGATTGTTTAAAGCTGTAATTAATTATGGTTTATAACATTTACGTTTGTTTATTTAAGTATTTATACTTTGGGCCCAAAACAAAAAATTTTGAATCGACCGAAGTTGTTATCATGCGCACTCTCTTCTAATTGATTGTAGTTCTCTTACTTATTAACGCCTCTTTATAAAATCTATTATACTTACATAATACGTTATAAAAATATATATACGAACAGCATACTCATTTACTGATTAATAAAGGAATAAGTTACGTAGATCAAACACGAGCATTTTAGTCTCTTGCATGAAACAAGTAATGCTGCGAGCAAAGCGCCGCTGGCGACCGGAACAATTACTGCATCTGTCTCTGGCAATTGCGTGATGATCTCGATGCCGACTGTGCCCAGCCCAGCCATCACCAAAGGGTCGTCGGCGCTAAAGCAGATTACTTTTTTAAAGCAGATTTACAGATTTTTTACTGGTGGTAGGACCACCTCTTGTGAGTCCGCGCGGGTGGGTACCATCACTCTGCCTATTTCTGCTGTGAAGCAGTAATGCGTTTCGGTTTGAAGGGTGGGGCAGCCGTTGTAACTATACTTGAGACCTTAGAACTTATATCTCAAGGTGGGTGGCGCATTTACCTTGTGGATGTCTATGGGCTCCAGTAGCCACTTAACACCGGGTGGGCTATGAGTTCGTCCACTCATCTAAGCAAAAAAGAAAAGAGATTTAAGCCATATGTGAATTTTGAAGAAGGTCCTAGTTATAAAAGTTAAAAAATCCTGGGCAAGTTTTCCATTGTTGTAATGATTTTTTTCCTACCTATGCTGATTGATAGCCTTGAGAGGCTATTTCAGCTTCGCCTTAACGTGTAGGTGAGCTCACGGGGCTCAAACCTAACGACGTTGCTATCACTAACCCTAGCAAAAGCCGTGCTTCGCAGAATCTACCACCGAATCGGAAACGCGACCCACTGAGAAGATCCGGCGAGAAACTCGGTGGGCTGTCTGTGGATTAACTTACTCGTCGAGCCCTTCGTAGCAAGCGACGGGTTCGACGAGAACAATAAGCGGTGCTTGAGGTAGGTACCTAAAAGCACCGTTAGTAGATCGGGAGGATCCGAAATGACGTGTTGTTGTTATGAAATACTCACTCGTAACATTTTGCACTTTTAAAAATGAATAGAGAATGATTTACGTTATCATACTTAATAGCTGGCGGTCAAAATTCGATTAAAATGGTTGGTGACGGATAAATTTTTCATTATGCCTTTAAACACTAGTGATCGAAAGCAATTGTAAGATAAAAAAAAGTATGACCATACTATGTATGCTAATATAAATGTATGTATTAGTAGTATTAACGCACAAATTAATACGAGATCAGCAGAAATCGCTACAACCGGCCGTAATGCCCGTAATATCAACAAATACCTAAGTCTATTATTTATATTTATTTTTAATTACTGATTACGTACAGATAACTTAAAGTAGCTAAATTAAATGCGCAAAATATTACAATAAGACAAAAGAAATAATTACATCTTTCGTCTCTCTAAAAACAGCAATGAATAGAACAGTTCAATCAACCAAAACATTTCGTCAAACCTCAATAGGATTTGTCTACTTTCACGTTGTACTTTTTTGGCGTAAGCTAGAGCGTCGTCATAACTGGTCCCGTACAGAACAACATCCGCTCCTAATTCGGTACAACGATGAGCCAGGGCAGGAGAGGTGCGATCGGGAAGAACAACAGTTACCTACATAAACATTAATAGATTCATTAATTCAGACGTCGTCGTGGCCTAACGGATAAGACGTCCGGTGCATTCGTGTTGAACGATGCACCGGTGTTCGAATCTCAGGCGGGTACCAATTTTTCTAATGAAATACGTACTCAACAAACGGTCACGATTGACTTCCACGGTGAAGGAATAACATCGTGTAATAAAAATGAAACCCGCAAAATTATAATTTGCGTAATAATTGCGGGTGGTAGGCCTCTTGTGAGTCCGCGCGGGTGGGTACCACCACCCTGCCTATTTCTGCCGTGAAGCGGTAATGCGTTTCGGTTTGAAGGGTGGGGTAGCCGTTGTAACTATACTTAAGACATTAGAACTTATATCTCAAGGTGGGTGGCGCATTTACGTTGTGGATGTCTATGGGCTCCAGTAACCACTTAACACCAGGTGGGCTGTGAGCTCGTCCACCCATCTAAGCAATAAAAAAAAAATATATTACATTAAATTAAAGAGTAATTGATATATTTTATTTTTTGTTAATTACGTGAAGCAGACAGACGGTCATTGCTCGAAATATCAGAAGATGATAACCTTTGACAAAATGAACAATGTACTATTAAGAGTCTTAATCTAATGTCGATACCTGTTTCATATTAATTTCCGATTATAAATAGTTTTCTAGGCTACACAGTTTCAACACCACGGAACATTTACGTGTTAAAACAAATGGTATCTATCGCTGGGTTGCTACACTTATCATTGTTATACCCATTTTTGGACACTAGAACACTGGGCACTCGCCACTACTACAGGGGTCACCAATTAGTTTCGCTCGGGGTCAGTTTTAAGAAATAATTAATACGGTCCGCATATTTAATAAAAAAATATTTATTATACAAATGTAATTACGGAAATAACATTTTTTTTTCTCATATCAATGACAAATATGAATTAGGTATATTTTTGTTGTGGACTATCTCCTTCATATTTGGAGAGATTTTAAAGTAATTAGTGCAAGCTATTGACATTAAATCCTGGAGATGTTCATCAGTAAGTCGAGATCGAAATTTATAGTCAATGAAGTTCATCTTCGAAAATGCTGCTTCACAAATATATGTTGACCCGAACAAAGTAAGAAGTTACAAAGCTATTTTTTGTAGTTATGAATATTTATTATCACACTCAAATCTGTATGTTTCTGTGTTCTCGCGTTCCGCATCAAAACGGACCACGGTCCGGATGCGAACCGCGGTCCGCCGTTTCGTGACCCTCAGCACGAAATTTAGTGTGTGCGCTATTTAATATTTTTAAATCGCTAAAAATATTTTTCCCTTACCCTAGAATGTTTAAATATGATCCGATTGAAAATTCTATAAAATAAATAGTACAATAAAATTTCATATCTTGAATCTTAATTTTTGATTTTACAATTTACACTGTAATATAATTTATTATATAATAAATATATAATAAATAATAATAAATATATAATTATTATATAATAAATAAATATAATTTATGATATTACAATTTTATTCTTTTTTTACCGGGATGCCGAAGAAACTTGCATGGTAAGCAGCGCCCAATGCCATGTTTCCTTGTGATGGTACTATTATTCCTCTGTCCATTATTTTTTCACCGTACGCCACAAGAGCGTTACGCATACCGCGTTCAGCACAACTTTTCATGAAAAAAAAGTACATACACAAAGTACATAGAGTACATACACGCTGGGCTTAAAGGACGGAATCTTCTCATAAAAACAAAACAATACCTACCTCCTCATTATGAAGTAGAAAAAGTATTAAATTAATATTAACGCAAAAATTGAAGTAAATAACCAAAAAACAATTAAATATAATGAGTTCCAACCTCGACGACCCCCATTAAAATCACATCAACGTTATGCATTCAAAAATCGGTTGGTTTAGTGCTGTACGTTCACTTCATCGTATTTTCTATGCAAAATAGTTTGCATTCGTATAAAAAACACTACAGCAAACTGTCAGCAGTATTCTTCTCAGTACATAACAATAATAAAAAATGGGTATGATTTTTCTAAAATAATTTCGTGTTTGTACCTGCCAGTGTACTGAAGGTTTTCACATTTTAAATATATGTTGTAATCCATATGTTTACTGAGTTTTGCTTCCTGTAAAAGTAAAAAGAACGTAGAAAAGATTTGTCTTTAAGGGTAAATAAGTAGCTTAAATTAGCATCTTCAGTTGTAATAACCGGACAGACCCTGGTTATGATTGTCTGACACTGACCGAGTAAAATTTGAAAATTGAAACGGTAAATTTTAAAACTCTCATTTTTTCAATACTAACACATAGCGGAGTGTGTATTATCCCACTTTCAATTCTTTCGACTGCTTGTTTGATTTCATTGAAAGACAGCACATGGGGACGTTCACAGTCAATTCTATCATCAACCTAAAAAAATTGTTTCATCCTTATTAAATTTTCAATCCATTGTTTTACTTTACCACATTTACTTTACTAAAAACCAAAGCTACCATTTTAAACAATTATTTAAAACTTTTAAATTTGGCCTCAAAGTGAGTAATTAAATTAATATGTATGTAATCGATGTTATTTAATTATTTTCATGGAAGCACGATTTTTTTTTCATTTCCGATAGACTTCAAAGTGACGTTTGTATGATTTCAGATCTGGCCAAAGAGCGTCTACGTAATTTTAAGCTAGATGAGAACTAAAACCAAAGCTTTCTCAAACAAACTACTTTTATTTAAGCCTTTTTTGATTATCTTCTTAGATTATTTATTGGAAAAGGGTATTACAATATATTATTTCATTAGATTACTATAATAAATGACATATAGGGCGTGAAAAGAGTAGTCTACCTGTCACTACGATCCACATAGACCTATCGAGTAGAACTCTACACCACGGAGAGGACATCCGTGCTCTTCTAAAGGGTTCGCACTCCCACCACCATGGATAGTATCTCATCCCGAATTAGGCGCGGTAGCTCCACTATCAGTCTTCGGCCAGCCCAAACCGTGGGCCTAAAAGGTCAAGTACTAAAGCGTCAACGTCGGTAGTACGCGGCCGAGTCGCGTTACTACTCGGTCGACTCTTCCCCATGATTTGAAACCGAAATAAATTGGCCCTTCGTAACTAACATATCTTGACATGACCTATGCAGGGTATTGTTCGCTCACGCGGCCCACGCATAAATTGTCTCCAGGTCATCCCCGTTTCTGCAAGGCAGCATCTTGGCTTTGCCCCTGGCATTGCTGAAGTCCATGGGAGACGGTAACCACTCACCATCAGGTGGGCCGTATGCTGGTCTGTCTACAAGGGCAATTAAAAAATATACATCTAATGAATATTTTGAATTGTTTTTTGCAGTAAGATCACATCACTAATTGTTCTAAACAACAGAATAATACTGCTGTGTATAAAGTGACAAATGTTTTAATTGATTATGTATACATAATAATAAAACAATATTGGTTCTAAGTTTCTATACTTTTATGAAAAACTACTTAAATTAATATGTACAATGAATTAAACAGAAATTATTGTAACATTAATTTTTTTGGTCCATATCTATGTATCAGAAAGTAAAATTTCCTTTTTTATTTAGTAGCTACTGAGTATCTTCTTAGGCAAAAAGCTGCAGATTATTATTAAATCATATGTTTCTTGTGATTACAAGGCCGTAGTATTAATTCGTGTTTAAAGTTGTATTCATGTTGTGCAAGTTGCGTATAAACCTCTTAATTGCATTCCACAAGTATTACTAGTTTTTGATGTGAAACAGAAACATTCACTTCAGTGTGATTTCTTCTCAATAAGACTGCAGACTGAAATACTGTGTATAACATTCTAAGCTTTTGAAAAATGAAGGCTTATACACACCATAAGGTAAAATGTAAACTTAAATTACAAAAACATTTATTATCTAATTAAATTTATTGTAATATTAGATTTTATGAAATCAATTAATTGCTAAGGCATCATTTTGTGCCTCTTGCGCTAACTGCACTTGAAGATTCAGTAATTTGTTTTTCAGTACAACTATTCCCATTAATACAATATTTTCTGGTTTAAGAGCTCCTGATGATTCTACATTATAAAAGAATTTGTTTGGTTTCGCTTCCCAGTTGAAGTCCGCCTCATACTGATCTTCATTAAGTTCAGTGTGCTCGCTTTTGGGCCATTCGTCTGGTTTTGGATATAACGTATGTCTCATTATATTATCAGGGTCATATTCAAAGGACACACCAGCAGTTGGATTCCATTTTGCATGCTCTTTCCCAAAACCTTTTTTCGCATACGCCCGAAGCTTCAATTCCTGACCCTTACGTAACTTAATTATTAATATTTCATCTGCTTCACCATAATCGGCCTGGTCTTCATCTCTGTGTCGCGATGTAACAGGGACGACTCTAGGATCGCTGGATTTCAAATCAGCAGTTGTTACATGTCTTGTTTGTTCATCTGTGCATTTTACGTCTAATGTAAATTCGACACTGCATTCGGAACAAAAATCAACACACATGCAATCACGCGAGTACCTGATTTTGTCTACAACGTCGTCTGATATAAGCGGAATGAGACCGATGCGGTGTGCTAAGAATTCATCGCTCAAAACGGTGGAGTTAGCTTCTAACTGTACCCAATCGATGGCCATTGTTGGTGTTTCAGCGATAAATACGCGTCTCATACTGTTTGCTACGCTTAGTTCGGTGTCTTCCACAACGAATTTTACATTTTCATCAGATAGTTCTGTTATGTGAACAGAGGGTTGATTTGCGTAAGGCATTTTCTGTTTCTTAAATGTAATTTAATAAATTAGGTTTCTTTTTAATGAAACTAACACCATCTAATATATAACAAAATAAATAACGAATAACACTTCCAAACAATCAACTTGTTAGCCAAATTCTAACCTCTGTGCTTGTCACATATTTTTTGTTTCATTTACTAAACAGACAAAGGGAACGAAGCTCATACAACCAATTTTTTTGTAATAAAGATGTTTAAACTTGTCTGTTGAATGAGTGTAAAATGGAACTAAGCTAACCTTATCTATCATCATCATCATCATTATCAGTAGTCCAACACTGAAAATAGGCCTCTCCAATTGCCGACCACTGAGCACGATCCTCAGCTTCTCTCACTCATTCTTGCCAGCCTTATGTATGTGTTGAATGAACTGAAATGATGTATATAAAGTTTCGGTAAAATGCTGGAAATTAACTAAGAGCTCAATGGAGTTTTTGGAAGAAGCCAGTAGACCTGTAGTCGTCGTGGCCTAAAGGATAAACGTCCGGTACATTCGTATCTAGCGATGCAACGGTGTCCGAATTCCGCAGGCGGGTACCAATTTTTCTAATGAAATACGTACTTGACTAATGTTCACGATTGACTTCCACGGTGAAGGAATAACATCGTGTAATAAAAATCAAACCCGCAAAATTATAGTGTGGGTCCGGACGGGTAGGTACCACCACCCTGCCTATCTCTGCCGTGAAGCAGTAATGCGTTTCGATGAAGGGTGGGGCAACCGTTGTAACCGTTGTATACCCGAGACCTTAGAACTTATATCTCAAGGTGGGTGGTGCATTTACGTTTTAGATGTCTATTTGCTCCAGTAACCACTTAACACCAGGTGGGCTATGAGCTCGTCCACACATCTAAGCAACAAAAAAAAACCCAAGATCCCACATCCCGCGGTTAACTTTAATTTTCCCACTCTTTTCATCAATTAATTTCGGTAATTAAAATATGACTATAACGAGACTTCTTGTAGTTGGGGCTATGTAAATAAAGGACAACTAGGTTATCTTCGACATAAGCTATGTGCAGTGTCGTAACGATCTAAACTCTCGCGGAATCCACCCTTTTTTCTTTTTATTTACGAATCAACATTTATTATAGTACATTGGCACTAAATTAAAAATATATTTTCTAGAAATCAATAATTAAAAAAAAATCAGCAATGTTTTGTTTTGCGGACCATTTGGCGCCCCTTTGTGAATAGCGCCCGGGGCATGATCCCCTCTTGCCCCCCCCTCGCTACGCCACTGGCTATCTGTATAAAAAGCAAATCACTAAAATATAATCATATGTATTAATATTCACTAGAATATTATTAATTACGCAGTAAATAATTATTGTCGTGTTAACGTACTCCGTTGTTCCTTATCATTTCCAATTATAAACAACATTCAGTTAATAAATCTGTAGCTTGGCACTTGTGTTGCCAAATTAACTGTTACAAAATATATTTTAATTGGAACTATACTTGTACTGTAACTATACTTGAGGCCTTAGAACTTGTATCTCAAGGTGGGAGGCGCATTTACGTTGTGGATGTCTATGGGCTCCAGTAACCACTTAACACCAGGTGGGCTGTGAGCTCGTCCACCTATCAAAGCAATAAAAAAAAAAAAAAGTTTTTAAATGGAGCGTTACAAGTGTGAGCCCTCGGTGAGTAATATTATCTAATTATTTCCCAACGATACGTATTTAATGTTTCTATTGCAGTGCAGTATTTCACTTATTGACCTTTGACCTATTTCTCATAAGTACCCGATGGACGATAAGGCGGTAAAACTCCTCATTCCTCGGTAAATGGCCGAGGGATCCACAGGTCAAAGACTGTGCTTTAAGAATTATGATTATAACATACAAACAATAAAGTGAACATGGTGTTCCAGACGATCGAGTTTGATCCTATGTGCGATAAGGAGAATCCTCAGAGAATATCCTTCGAAGATATCTCTGCAGCAGCTTTCAGAATACAAAGTGAGATAATTAAAACGCCGTGCGTGGTAAGGAAATTTTTCGATTCCGTTGTCATTGTGTGCTTTTAAGTCATGCTTATTTTACTAAGAAATTTATAGAAAGAGCGCACAATTATAATTGCTTGGTGTGTGTACACTTTAGTGTGATATATTATTATATTGTCTACTAGCTGACCTGGCAGACTTCGTTGTGCCTCAATCGATAAATAAAAGACCTAAACTTTTGTATAAAATAAACTTAAAACAAACAAAAGGAATCCATCCGACAGGGGGGACATCAAATGAAAAACAAAATTGTTATTTTTATTTAATTCCGAGTATTTTCATATTTATCTACCTTTTAAACCTTCTCAGGACTTCCACAAATAATTCAAGACCAAAATTAGCCAAATCGGTCCAGCGGTTCTCGAGTTTTAGCGAGACTAACGAATAGCAATTCATTTTTATATATATAGATTTATTGCCTGGTAATTTTTTTATTTTTTGTTGCTTAGATGTGTGGACGAGCTCACAGCCCACCTGGTGTTAAGTGGTTACTGGAGCCCATAGACATCTACAACGTAAATGCGCCACACACCTTGAGATATAGTTCTAAGGTCTCAGTATAGTCACAGCGGCTGCCCCACCCTTCAAAACTAAACGCATTACTGCTTCACGGCAGAAATAGGCGGGGCGGTGGTACCTACCCGTGCGGACTCACAAGAGGTCCTACCACCAGTAATTACGCAAATTATAATTTTGCGGGTTTGATTTTTATTGCACGATGTTATTCCTTCACCGTGGAAGTCAATCGTGAACATTTGTTGAGTACGTATTTCATTAGAAAAATTGGTACCCGCCAGCGAGATTCGAACACCAGTGCATCGCTCGATACGAATGCACCGGATCCTTTAGGCCACGACGACATCAAAATTGTTAGTATTCTTACAGAAATCTCACATGTCCTCCATATTCGGGATGGATATCTATCTGAAAAATGACTTTCTGCAGCACACAGGAAGGTAGGATCAATTTATACGTCAATTTAGTAGTTTAGTGATCTCGAAAAGAGCTTTTAGCATGCATGTTTCTTGGCCAGAGCTGAAAATTTTATTTTAATCTATTGTATCTATACTAATATATAAATTTGCAGTGGTTTTTACGGATGTTCCGTTATAACTACTGAACCATGCATACGATTGACTTGAAACTTTGTATCCATGTAGAAAATACATGTACTTAATAGATAGGCTTATATTTATATGAGTGTTGGACTCCCTAATAATAATGACAATAAATAATAATGTTAATATTAAATGCCCAGCGAAGCGGGCGAGTACGTCTAGTTTCAAATATTTATAAAATATATAGATAATATATACTAAATAATATATAAATACTTACCTTTCTTATGTTTCTGCGTAATACAACTATATAGATCCAACTATAATTTTGTTATTCGAATTTTCGTAGTTTCAAAGAACGTGGAGCGCGCAACGCCCTAATGCTACTTCCTGAGGAGGCTAAAACTCGGGGCGTCATCTCGGCCTCACTCGGGAATCACTCGCAGGCCCTAAGCTACCACGCGCATAAACTGAATATACCCACCACTGTGGTTATGCCCAATGTCGCTCCAATTATGAAGATCCAGAAATGTCAGTCTTATGGTGCAAACGTCATCGTTCACGGACACGACATGAAGGAGGCCAAGTATCACGCTATGTCCTTGGCTAAGGAAAAGAACCTTACTTATATTAATGGGTAAGATTCGGTTTTCAATTACTGTAGTAAATTTTAGGTGTAAATGTGAAATCGATGGTTAGTTTCTTGTTAATTTCCTGGTTAACTCATCTCATAGTCCCGATATTAACTTTGTACCGGATCCCGTAGACGAAGTGTCGTTAGAGCCAGTAAGTAATTTCCTGCTTACGTGGGTTAAATAATCATAAGGTATAGTTTCAAAATGTTAATTAGATAAGAAGCCTAATGGATAAAGAGAGGTGGAAGAAGTAGGTATTGTATTAAGCAGATGTCGGTGTCTATTAACGACAAATCAAAGGACGCCGTTCATCTTGAAACATGAAGACGAAATCCTCAGTTTCTTTTATCTAATGCCATTGAAATAACAACCACATCTGCCCTTACGTCATTTTCGATCCTCCCGATCCACTAACGGTGCTTTTAGGTACCTCAAGCACCCATCAACAACAGGTCGGCAACCCATCGCTTGCGACGAAGGGCTCGGCGAGTAAATTAACCCACAGACACAACCCACTGAGTTTCTTGCCGGATCTTCTCAGTGGGTCGCGTTTCCAATCCGATGGTAGATTCTGCGAAGCACTGCTCTTGCTAGGGTTAGTATTAGCAACGTCGTCAGGTTTGAGACTCGTGAGCTCTCCTACTTGTTAGGTTACGCTGACATAGCCTCTCAAGGCGATCAGCTTAGATAGGCTTAAAAAAAACTGCCCTTCAAACCATAGTGTACACCTATAAGTTGACGCTAAAACATAACATTGGTAAAGATCACATTTAAATCATCAAACATAGATAGAAACCAGCAAGTACTCGAATTCACTGAATACAATACGGATTTTTAATGTAACCTGTGACCATTATTATTTTGCGATAAATAAATAAGCATCGTTGTATCAGGTATGACCACCCTCATATAATGGCCGGTCAGGGTACCGTTGGTCTCGAGATCCTCGAACAGGTACCAGACGTAGATGCGGTGCTGGTACCAGTCGGTGGAGGTGGACTCTTGGCGGGTGTCGCTACAGCCATAAAACACCTGAAATCACGAGTATTGATTTATGTGAGTAAGAAAAGTACAATTATTTGTAAATATACAATCTCGTATCTCGTATGTCGTATCACTCTTGTCAGAGCGATCGTGGTCGTCATCCAGCATCATTGTTGTGGGCAGATGTTATGCGCCTCACGAGCAATCGCCACTCCTCCCGGTTGGTGGTGAGCCTGGTGAACTCATGCAAACAGCCGCCAACTGCCGACTTGATCTGGTCGGTCCATCGCATGGGCACCCTTCCACGCGGTCAGGTGCCTTCTACTTTGCCCTGAACGACAAGGCGCTCTATCGAGTTATTTCCTCGCCGGGAGACATGTCCAAAAAATGATAGTATGCGTCCATGCACGAGCGCCGAAAGACGCTGCTTAATGCCGAGTTCTCGAAGAATGGAGATATTGGTGCGAAGTTCGGTCCATGAAATACCAAGCATTGGTCTCCAGCACCACATCTCCAGAGCATCAATCTTCTTTCTCTCGACCTGCCGCAAAGTCCACGTCTCCGCAGCGTATAGGAATATGGGGAAAACAAGAGTTTGTACGAGCCGGATCTTTGTGGCTTTGGTAACGCTTTTGTTCTTCCATATCTTCTTCAGACTATCCATTGCATTTCTTGTGATCGCCATACGCCGCTTTACTTCATCTACGCAACCGCCATTGTTCGGTAGCCACGGTAACCACTGACCATCAGGTAGGCCGTGTGCTCGTCTGCCTACAAGGGCAATAAAAAACATGTACCTGATATAGACGTAACGAATCTGTCGCAAGTTAAATTTTACTCTCAACGCGCCTAAAGAAGTAGAAGAAGTAAGTAAGTATGTACTTCAATAATGTGAATAATCGGTAATCTACTGTTTATAACCACTGCTAGCCATTACGGTGTTGGTTCAGTACGGAAGCACAAATGCGTTCAGGAGATCTGAATGATAATATTAATCTTAATATCAGATCTTAACAATCAGATTAGTAATCCAGTTATTCGATACCGATAAATCGCACACAGGTTGACTTTCTGCATTTACTCCGTATCCGGAAAGTCATTAGTTTTTTTTATTTTTATTGCATAGATGTGTGGACGAGCTCACAGCCCACCAGGTGTTAAGTGGTTACCGGAGCCCATAGACATCTAAAACGTAAATGCCGCCACCCACCTTGAGATATGAGCTCTAAAGTCTCAGTATAGTTATAACGGCTGCCCCGCCCTTCAAACCGAAACGCATTACTGCTTCGCGGCAGAAATAGGCAGGGTCGTGGTACCCTTGCGGACTCACAAGAGGTACCACTACCACCAGTATAAACTTTCATTAATCGATTAAATCCAACGATCCCGTATACTAATGTAGTCTGTTGTTTTACTAATGATTGAGAGGCTTCAGAGACTTTATTTTATTCATAGCATTTCTCGACAGGGTGTAGAAACCGAGAAATGTCCTAGCATGAAGGAAGCCATGAGTCATGAGGAACCAGTGAGCGTGGACATCAAGTCGACCCTGGCCGACGGTCTTGCAGTACCTACAGTCGGCTACAATGCTTTTCGAACAATCAAATCAATAGTCGACAAAATGGTAACAACCGCTTGTATATTTTTACTAAAAAAACATTATTTTCGTGATAAAGAAACCTCCTTTAAAGCTCTTTGTTTATTTAGGACATTTTATAATTTGTGTCGTGTGGATAATACAATTGTAAATGAAAGCACCACCGTGTGTTGATGTTTCAAATTCACACTCCAAGAACCATTCAAGTGTACTCAATAATTTAGACCCAGGATCACAATTAACTTAGATTTAATTTAAAATGTGCTATGAGTTCCGAGGAGATCAATTGACGATTGATCATTTCTACGACAATAATTATATAGTTTATACACTTATATAATTTAACTTATTTTACATCTGCATTGGAAAAAGAAGAAATATTATGGTTTATTATAAGTATTTAATATTATAATACAAATTTGATTGGAATGGAGATTGAAACAGCGCCCCTACGTTTGCCGCTAACTTTTACGCGATCGAAAAGTTAAAAAACTCGCACTAAGCATACTGTGAAGTTTCTTCACGTCAAAGAATGAAACTACTGTAACCACTTACGATTTTTACGGTCTCGCACGGGTGTGTGCTAACAAACCGCGCAATTCTGCCGTGAGGCATCATACCTTCCGCTTTGAGCCGTTATACGGCACAATTCAAAGGACGACCTCATGTCTCAAGGTTTTAACAGTCTGATGTTTGTAGGCGCCGGTTGCTATTTACTAACAGCTGAAGTGAAGTGAAAAACTAATCTAAGCTACAAAAATTTATGTAATTTACCTTGAATGTCAGAGAATGAATGGAGATAAATAATCACTAAAATTAAGTAGTGTTTGACGAATTCCTGATATCATTAATTGTATGTGTTTATCTTACTGTTTGGTATTTGAGCTGTATAAAAACAAAGGACCATTCGTATAGTAGTCGATTATTTTGTTTGAACGATAGATAACGGTTAACGAAGATTGGTTGGCGCGCGCCATACTACGGCTGGTTGAACAAGAGAAATACGTGGTGGAAGGCGGAGGAGCTGTAGGCGTGGCTGCTATCATAGCTGGACTTGTACCCGAGCTGTGTGGAAAGAAGTAAGAATTTTCTCGGAAATCTATATAGCAATCTTCTATTTATATTTTCCCAGTTGACTTCGAAATGGTTGGACTGATCACGATGATATTATCAGGAAATCAAAGATTGGCCAGTAAAGTTTGCTAGCAACATATGAAGCTGTATTTTGTTATTGGTTTATTATGGTAACAAAGTTTTTCGTAGTATCCGTTCGCTTTGAAAGCGAGTGCGTGGCGAAAATTACAATTACCTTGGTGAATCAAAGACAAGGATTACGATTGCTTTTTTTTGGTTCAACAAATACATTCTTTTTTAGTTGAATTTTTGAATAATTGAATGTTTTTTTATTTACCGCCAATTCAGATTTTGCTTCTTTCAATCAATTATAAATGTATCATTAAAACTTATCATTGTTTCTTATTTATATTTATCATCGTTGCATCTATAACACACAAAACTTAGCACGCGGGACCGTGAGTTTCATCTGCTGATCTTTGTCAAATGAAAGAAGAGAATTTTAAATTTATGTCTTCTTCGGTTTTTCTGAGTAATAAACATAATTAAAACTACGTACGTCTACAGTTTTTCTTGCGTAACCAAAAAACCTATAAGGTATTTGATACGTCAGAAACAATATATAAATATCCTCCTCCTCGAGTCGTGTTCCTCATGTCTGAGGGTCGTGACCACCATCACCCATGAGCTTATATAAATATAGACGACAATAAAAACCGCTAGATTCAACCTTTAAATTTAGTTATTATATAATTATGTATATATTTTTTAAAATATGTACAATTTTACTTCCTTCATAGATAATTAAGATCACTTACGCGAGATATATATAAATAGCACAATTTTTATTATACAAAATAATTGACACGTTCATACGTTCCGGGTTGAATGTACTGCCGTTGTCCCAAAGCAATCGAGATAATCTTTTTTATTTATTAATTAGTTCAAATAATTGTTACCCATGATAACTACTCTTGATATTTTATATTCAGAACGTAATTGGAATTGAAATTGATGATAAACGAAAAACTAAATTATTTTGACGCGATATATTAAGTATATCATTTACTGTCCTCACACTTTGTAATTCAATTCCATATTAATTTTATTTTACAGAGTTGTATGCATCCTATCCGGGGGCAACATAGACACGACTATCCTGGGACGGTGTTTGGAACGTGGTCTGGCGGCGGAGAAGCGTCTGGTCAAGTTCAAAGTGACAGTCAGTGATAGACCTGGTGGTATTGCTGAACTGTGCAAATTGATATCATCTATCGGAGTATCAATAAAGGACATTATGCAGGAGAGAGCTTGGGTGCAGGGAGACATCTTTAGCGTCCGAGTGAGTGCTTATATAGGCTGGAATATTGGTAGTAGTCGGTATCTACGTTGAAGAAACGTTTTATCAAGTCAAAGTTCGACGCTAATATTTGACTCGTTTTTTTATTGCTCAGTACTATAACCCAAGATCTATAGGGCCAGTGGTACCTAAATCACTAAACGTAATCGATGGTTTTCGAGTGTGTAATGAGAGAATACTTGATACTAGAGAAGTATTTGATTATCTATGGAGAATACCCAAGAATAGAATCTTATGTTGACATTAATTAAAAGTCAGTTGTCATAAGCGAATTACGCAAAGGCACCTAGGACTTTCGATAGATTAAAGACGCAACCCACCTTGAAACTTGAGGCCGAAGAATCTATTCAAAATAAAAAATCAAATTAAATTCAATACTCTACTATCCAACAGCAGCTTCTTTTTTATCCAATTTTGAAACTATGTGATCCTTACTTACTTCCTATGCAAAATTATGTCGACATAACACATTATTACGGTTTATATCACAGGTAAAAGTAGTCTGCGAGACTCGTGGTCCGGAACACATGGACGAGCTACGCAATAAGATATCGAACTCCTACCGCGAGTGGGACTTCGCCGGAGAATTCGTCGGGCGCAGAGGAAGCGTAGATTCATTGCTCGACGATATATCACATTGAATGTAATGAAGCACAACAATTATTATACTTTTATATTCCGTAAAACAATAAAACACAACTGTTGTAACAGTGCTATATCCAGTAAAATAATAAAAAACGACTATTACACTGATAAATTCCATGTTTTTGTTTTTTCGCGGCAACCTCAGACTAACCTTAGGGGTGACCTTACGTAAAATTGGCGCGTAATATTAAAACACCGATTGTTTTTCAAATTTGTTATGGAATGTGTTTATATAAAACTTACGTTGTTGCAATCGCAACGAAATATGATTACAGATCGTATACTAATTAAAGTTGAAATTTAGAGAAGTGATTTTTTCCGCTTTATTCTGCAAAATCTAAAATAACTTAAACATCCCAATTACAGGACACAGAAACAACTTAGAAATAAACTTCCCAATGGACAGGACAATAGGACAGGTTAAAATATTTCCTTTATTCACAAAAAACTAGATAATCGTGCTTTTGATACCAGCATTTAGTTATGAGTTAATATTATAATTAAATGTAATATCAAAATTTGACAACCTGCATACCGGACATGCTTCAATTATTAAAATAAACATGCTCTCAACTTTATTATTAACATAATTTGTATTAGTAGATAAGAAGACATCATTGCCTAAGGAACATATTAAGCTTATCGAACTCACATAATTTATTGTTACTTGGTAACACAAAATACATAGAAAAGTTTCAAAACAAGGCAGTTTAGTATGCGGCAAGCGGCCCGATGTTGCCTAAACTCAGGTTTTATTTATTTATTGCATAGGTGGTTGGACGAGCTCACAGCCCACCTGGTGTTAAGTAGTTACCGGAGCCCATAGACTTCCACAACGTAAATGTAGCCACCCACCTTGAGATATGAGTTCTAAGGTCTCAATTTAGTTACAACGGCTGCCCAACCCTTCAAACCGAATCGCATTATTGTTTCACGGCAGAACTAAGCAGGGTACCTTCCCGTGCGGACTCACAAGAGGTCCTACCACCAGTAAACCAGTCAGGTTGCAAGGTCAACTGGTATCGCTACAACGTTTATTTTCACTCACATCAATGTCGTGCCATTACATTGAATTGAAACCCTCTTATCGTGGCCACCTCGAATTATATTGTCGATGCAGGCAACGGGGAAAGGCAAAGCCGCCGAAGTCTCAAGCATGTGCTATCGGATTCCAGTGGCAACTCTCGGTGCTTTTTGATATTCCGACTGGCCACCTTTCTCGTTGTGGAATTCAACTTACGACTAAGCTTATAGACACAATACACTGAGTTTCTCGTCGAGCCTTCTCAGTGGCACGCGATTCCGATCCGGTAGTAAATTCAGCAAGGTACCTACTGCTCTTGCTAGCTTTTTATTTATTTATTGCTGAGATGGGTGGACGAGCTCACAGCCCACCTGGTGCTAAGTGGTTACTGGAGTCCATAGACATCTACAGCGTAAATGCGCCACCCACCTTGAGATATAAGTTCTAAGGTCTCAAGTATAGTAAAATGGCTGCCCCACCCTTCAAACGCAGAAATAGGCAGGGTGGTGGTACCTACCCGCGCGGGCTCACAAGATGTCCTACCACCAGTAATTACACAAATTATAGTTTTGCAGGTTTCTCTCCCAGGTTGAGCCTCGTGAGCTCACCTATCAAACCTAATGGTAGGCAACGGCTCTGCTCTGCCTCTGATATTATTAACGTCCATGAGCGATGATGATGATGATGACTACTCACCATCAGGTGGGCCGTATGCTCGTCTACCTTCAAAGGCAATAGAAAAAAGCCGTGCGTAGCTGAAATAGCCTGTTAGACTACAAGCAATTAGGTAGATCAAAATAAGATAATCACAATATGTTTCCGATTTGCTACGTTCAAATTAAACATAAGGGTCCAAAATATACAGGCGACACGAGTCCAGAAAAATGCTGCTAATATTGGACGTACCACTATAATAACTGATTATTTCGATTCCTGTGTTACTTAGACTTACTTTTTTAAATCGTTTATTTTTTAATTTATTGTATTTTTCAAATCAAAACAAATCTCGTTAATGAAATAGTATTTTTCTTTGATTGTCGAGACCCGATCTCGCATTTCTTATTTCTAATCATTCGGATTCAAATTTTCGCGGTAACTGACTACTAATGATTTTGATTTATTTATTGTACTATATTTACTAATGCGTATATTTATTGTACGTTCTATTACAAATCTTTGGCCACCAAAATCGATAATAAAGTCACAACCGTTTAAAAGCGTCTTTGAAAGCCTACTTGAATAAAAACATTTTGATTTTGAATACTTTTTAAAGCAGTAAAAACTTTTTTCTTTCAGTTACATTATAAAATAGTAAAAAGTTTTCACTCCAAATTCAATGTCATCATAACAATGAGTTTCCTATAATATTATTTTTACAATATCTAAATTAGTTTTCTAAATGTATTTATTAAATATTTAAAACATGTTTTTAATGAAAATTTACAGTTAAAACTTGCAAATCAAAATGAGTGTCGTAAGTTGAATCATTTTCCTTTCACATAGAGTAACTAAACGACATTTCTTTTTTAAAATTAATTATATATTCTATAGATTTTTTTCCTACCTAAGCTGAAGGCTTAGAGAGACCATATCAGCGTAACCTTAACTAGTAGGTGAGCTCATGGTGCTCAAACCTGACGATATTCTATCCTTTTTGCTTGTCCTGTATTGTTTTTTTGGATGCTAATGTCGAAATGAAGCCAGTACACTGTTAGTCAATTCAAAATTCTATGACTAATATATGTACACTCATTGAGTTCTCTGATTACGATTTCGTATTAGAATGATTATTCGTGAGCTTAAGTCGACAGCGTTACGTTAGCATAAGCTCGTCAGTGTCGAAGTGAAAACTTTATGCCTATGAGCCTATGAGCCCTATCGTAACAAGAGAGCTCAGTAATTCGGAACGACGTAACATTGAACTGAATCTTCTTTGCCTCTACCAAAATTGCATCGGATGTCATATATTTAATAGGTAAGTGACAAGTTTCGTGTGGAGGGCCTGGTGCGCGAAGCATATATTTCTTACAACGGGATAATATAGTACTTTTTTATCTCTGTTGAGAGTTTGCGAGTTTCATGCAAAATTCATACAAAATGTCGTCCTATGGACTCGTTTCAAATATTAAAAAAAAAAATTTTACTAACAATCACGCCACGTTAACTGGTCCCGTTATAAGTTCGTAAAGAACTTGTGTTACAGGTACCAGATAACGGATATAAATGTAAGATTTTTATTATACACATACATATATTTAATAGACATCCATAACCCTGGAAAAGACATTTATATTTATCATACAAATATCTTCCCTTGGCGGGAATCGAACCCGCGACACCCTTGTGTAGTGACCATGTCACTTACCACTACACCAGACGGCCGTTAATAATATATCTAAAATGAATATTTAGCGATTAGCATTTATTTTAGTAATCAAAGAACTTCAGCAACATCTTTGCGCTACCCCGATGACATAATTACATATATACTTTATATATAACATGTACAAAGCGAAACCATATTTGCGAAACGATTATTCACAGAAATTGTAACATTTTTAATTTTACAGGATATTGAATTTGATGAAAACTGTGATCCAAATAATCCACGCAAAATAAAATATGATGACATATTGGCAGCTTCAAGACGAATTGTCGGGGCAGTAGTTCGTACACCGTGCACCGTATGTTATTATTAATATCAACAAATTATGCTTCTTAAGTGCAAGCGTTACATTAAAAACTATACTGAGATCTTAGAACTTATATCTCGAGGTGGGTGGCGCATTTACGTTGTAGATGTCTATGGGCTCCAGTAACCACTTAACACCAGGTGGGCTGTGAGCTCGACCATCCATCTAAGCAATAAAAAAAAAAAAAAACGTAACGTAACGTAACGAGAGATATGGATATCATAAAGTGAATGCCGTCCATGCCCAGCTTGAGACATGAAGTGAAAATCACAAGTCCAATTAGCTAATAAAGCTACTCTACCCTTCAAACCAGAATATAGAATATTTTGTGATAGAAATGACTATGATAAGATATTCTTCTCGGCCTTTACAATACCTACACCCTACCTCTAGTAAGCGTTTAAATAGTAAAATCTAAATGGAAACCCCACGAGAAGCACCAGTTTTAAAAAGAATAATCATCAAAATCGCCTTTAAAAAAATTGCCGTCGAATTGATAACCTCGTTCTATTTTAAGTCGGTTAAAAATAGTAAGCAATTGTCATAAGTGTGGTATAGCACCTATATAATATATTCGTTTATGATTTATTCACAGCGCGCTCACATGTCAGAGAGACTGGGAATGGATATTTATTTCAAACAAGAATTTTTACAGTATACTGGAAGGTAAATTTAATTTATGGACACTAAAAAAAACTATAATTATTCAATGCAACTGTCAAAGAGGTTTAAGATAGTTCACAACTTAAATTATAAAAGAATATAACTTTGATACAGGCGGATGGAAAATAAGAATAGACATATGAAGGGCCGCCCGATCGTCATCCAGTTTTTTTTATTTCGTAGACGGGTGAACAGTCCACCTTTTTTCTGCCGCGAGGTATCGCGTTTCGGTTCTAAAGGTGGAATAGGCCTCATTTGTCAAGGTGGGTGGCGGCAGCCCCGTTGTTACACGTATGGGCTCTGATAACTACTTAAAAGATGGGCGTGACCTTGTTCACCTGTTTACGATATAAAAATAATACTATTTTCGGTAGGCAGCGGCTTGGCTCTGCCCCTGGCATTGCTGAAGTCCATGGGCGACGGTAACCACTCACCATCAGGTGGGCCGTATGCTCGTCTGCCTACAAAGGCAATAAAAAAATTAATTTAAAAGGTTTACGTGCGATGACGTGCAAATCTCTTGAGCTTCCGATTACAATAATAACCACCTATTGTGAAATTATTATTCAAAATACCCTTTTGCGGGTTTGCCAGTTAAATCATTCAATGTCGGATATTAAGTTATCTGTGTTGTTAGAAGATCGACTATACAACAAACGCGAGAACTCTATTCTTTAATTCCCACAGTTTCAAAGAACGTGGAGTCCGAAATGCGCTGATATCGTTGAGTGACGAACAAAAGAAAAATGGTGTTATAGCAGCGTCTACTGGCAATCATGGTGCAGCATTAAGCTATCACTCCACCCAACTAGGGATACCGTGCATAGTGGTCGTACCTATTCATACCGCTCTCAATAAAGTTAACAAATGCGAACAGCTCGGAGCGAAAGTTTTCAAGCACGGAATAGACATGTCAGCGGCCAAATTACACGCAATGAGTTTAGGGAAGGAAAAGAAAATGATTTACATTAACGGGTAAGCAGTATTACAATTAAGATTTTTTTATTATATCTATATATTAATACGTGAAGCAAAAACTTTGTATCCCTTTTTACGAAAATTGCGCGGACGGAGGAGTATGAAATTTTCCACACTTATAGAGAATAATATAGAGAAGAAGTGCACAATACTAATATTTTTTTAAATAATGCATAAAAGATACATTAAATCAATAAAGAAAACATTACACACACTACATACCATGTATTTGATGCATACACGCATGCATACTATTTATTGTCAAACTTTTGTTCTTCACGTCTGTTGTCAAATTGAGATTAAATATTGTTTGTCTTTGTTAATATTTTTTATAGTGTAGTCTTGGTGAAATTTGTGATCATAGAAGTATAAAATACAATCATAATAGTGTACAAACTTACAATTCCAATTAATTATAGTCGAATTTCGACTACTGCGGGACCACTAGATAATGTTTAATAGACAAGCAAACAGTCGAAATTTAAATAACATTGAATGCCCGTCCTATGCCTCGAATCGGACTTATGACTGAAATGTAATAGGCGGGAAAATTACACGTTCTAACGCACGCGAAGACAATGATTAATTATTTGATTGTAATAAACACAGGATATGTGGTTTCTTTTTTCCTGTGATTATTACTCTTACTGTTTTATCTCACATTTTTCGTGTTCATGAAAACTTCAAAATATCTTTTACCTGCGACTTAGATCGTGTTAATGTAAAAAGAATAATACCATAGCTTGGAAATAGTAGCTACTTTTCGGATGCAAGGTGCGTATATTCTTTTCGACATCCCTGACAATTTATGCAACATTTCATTTGGATTGCTTGAGTAGTTAAAACGTGAGAGTGTAACAAACCAACAAACTCACTCTTCCCCTATTATATTTATTACACGTAGTATGGTTAATGTATATTTGTTTACCCGTAAATGCAAAATCTTCTTCTTTTTCTGCACCTTATCCCACTAGGTGGGGTCGCCACAGCTAATTTTTCTCTTCCATTCTCTTCTATCAGCCGTCATCTCAACACTCACTCCTCTCTCTCTCATATCGTCATTCACACACTCCATCCATGTCTTCTTTGGTCGACCTCTTCCCCCTCTACCTTGCATTATCATTTCTATACATCTCCTAGTCACATGCATCTTGTCTCTACGCATAACATGTCCGTACCACGCTAACCGCCCACTCTTTAATTTGTTGCAAATAAATGCAAAATAAAAATAATTAATATGAATTTATAAAAGCTTTAAACGTGTCCAGAACTTGATTATATGTATAAAGGATCGGTACGTGTTCGCGCGAAATATTTCTTACTAGCGCGACTGCCTTGTTTTCCCTACCTATTCGGTAGTAGCCTAAGAATTAGGATAGAATAAAAAACGCCCGGGTGTGTAGGTGAGCTGATGGGGTTCATCTTGAGAATGTTTGCTAATATTGGCCCTAGCAAGAGCGGTACTTCGCAGAATCTACCAACGGATCGGAATTGCGACTCACTGAGAAAATCTGGCGAGAAACTTTGTAGGTTGTGTTTATGGGCTAGTTAACTCGTCGAGCCCTTTGTTGTGATTGGCGTGTTCGGTTAGAGTAATCAGTGCTTGAAGAGCCTAAAAGCACCAAGAGCGTATCCGGGGGATCCGACAAGACATGCTTCGGGCGACGGCGACCGTTGTGTTGCCCTGCCACTTGGATCAGAGATGTAATTACCACCATGGCTCATGGCCACGATAATAGGGTCGATACGACTGAACATCTGGCGATGAATGTTGTATGCGAGTTCTTTGACTGTAAACACGACCCAGATAAAAAAATATATGATGTTCTTCTAATATTATATTGTTTTTTGCTCAATAATCGACTGTTTTATCTATAAATAAATATTATATCATGTATATTTTTATATTTTTATTTTTTTATTGCTTAAATGCGTGGACGAGCTCACAGCCCACCTGGTGTTAAGTGGTTACTGGAGCCCATACACATCTACGACGTAAATGCGCCACCCACCTTGAGATACAAGTTCTAAGGTTTCAAGTATAGTTACAACGGCTGCCCCACCCTTCGAACCGAAACGCATTACTGCTTCACGGCAGAAATAGGCAGGGTGGTGGTAACTAACCGTACGGACTCACAAGAGGTCATACGATCAGTGAAAAAAAAAATATAAAAAAAAATGTATCTCATTATATCTAATTGACAATAAGTGGCTTCATTATTTATCGAATCTTTTTAACGCGTACAGCTATGATCATCCCGATGTATTAGCTGGACAAGGATCTATCGGTATAGAGATAATAGAGCAATTACCGAATGTTGATGCAGTTTTGATACCCGTCGGTGGTGGAAGCCTATTAACTGGAATTGGGATCTCCGTAAAACATCTTAAGCCAGACACTGAAATATATGTAAGAAATAATTTAATATTAGATTTTATAAATGGGCTAGTCTTGTAAGTATTTAGAAGTTTTACTTTTGAGTATATTTATATAAATACCATAAATGTGAAGTTTAAATTTTGACAATAACGACTAGCAATTAATAACTAGTCAGGTCATAAGTATTGTCACACAGTAAAAACTTTTCTTTTAGAATGCTGGCCACAAAAAAGTTTATTGAATTCGAATTTCGAATTGTTCATGAAAATAAAAATGTATATGTACTTTTAGAATTTTACTCATTTTTAAATATGGAGTGGACGCTTAAAGAAGACCGTGTTGCAGTTATTGCGTTGCATCGTTGCGGTTACGCGCCAATTCAAATTTTTAACATACTGAAAATTTTGAATATAACCAAAAGATTCGTTTATCGTACCATCAAACGATACAATGAAGACTCTAGTGTAGATGACAGGTCAAGAAGTGGTCGCCCTCGGTCTGTTAGGACTCCAGCAGTGATAAAAGCTGTGAAGGTGCGAATTCATAGAAATCCCGAACTTAAGCAGAAACTGTTGGCCCTTCAGGTGGGGTTAAGCAGAACCACGGTGAAAAGGGTGTTAAATGAAGACTTAGGGCTTCGGGCATATCGAAGAAAAACAGGACATCGTTTGAATGCTCGTCTAATGGACCTGAAACTGAAGAGATGCCGCGCTTTGTTGAAGCGGTACGCGGGAAAAATATATCGGGAAATTCTTTTTTCGGATGAAAAAATTTTTACCGTAGAAGAGAGCTACAACAAACAAAATGATAAGGTGTACGCACACAGTAGTGAAGAAGCGAGCAACCGTATTCCGCGTGTCCAACGAGGTCATTTTCCATCCTCGCTCATGGTATGGTTGGGAGTTTATTGGGGCTTAACAGAGGTACATTTTTGTGAGAAAGGTGTAAAAACGAATGCAGTTGTGTATCAAAATACAGTCCTGACGAACCTTGTGGAACCTGTTTCTCATACCATATTCAATAACAGGCACTGGGTATTCCAACAAGATTCGGCGCCAGCTCATAGAGCGAAGAGCACACAAGACTGGCTGGCAGCGCGTGAAATCGACTTCATCCGGCACGAAGACTGACCCTCCTCCAGTCCAGATTTGAATCCATTATTACAAGATATGGTAACACTTGGAGGAAAAGGTGTGCTCAAAGCCTCATCCCAATTTGGAGTCACTCAAGACATCCTTGATTAAGGCAGCCGCCGATATTGACATGGACCTCGTTCGTTCTGCGATAGACGACTGGCCGCGCAGATTGAAGGCCTGTATTCAAAATCACGGAGGTCATTTTGAATAAACTTTAGTGTCATAAGAATCTATGTTTTGTTAAGTTCATGTTGGTATATGAATGGTTACATAATGAATAAACTTGTTTCAATTATTTTACATTAAACATGTGACAGAATTTATGACCTGACTAGGTATCTAATTGATTTAATATCTTTTCCATAAAGGAGCGAATAGAAAGGTAAACTTAATTCATACAAAGTGGAATTCATTCAAAGTTTCAATGTGATGGTTATAACAAAATTTAAAGTACTTACACTATGTTCCAATATCATATTCAGTAATGAATCGGAAAAGTTTGGATTTAGAAACATTCATTCGACAAATTAACATGAAATCTAATATGAACGTTTTTGTTCTAAACATTAATAATACGTGAAATAATTATTACTAAATTCAACTTTTGGATTGGTAAAATGAAGCATCAAGCTTGTATTTGGATGAATCACATATTTATACCGAAGTTTCTTTATAAATTTTTTCCTGAATGATAGTAATATGAACTATTTATTTCCACTGGTGGTAGGACCTCTTGTGAGTCCGCACGGGTAGGTACCACCACCCTGCCTATTTCTGCCGTGAAGCACTAATGCGTTTCGGTTTGAAGGGTGGGGTAGCCGTTGTAACTACACTGAGACCTTAGAACTTATATCTCAAGGTGAGTGGCGCATTTACGTTGTAGATGTCTATGGGCTCCAGTAACCACTTAACACCAGGTGGGCTGTGAGCTCGTCCACCAATCTAAGCAATAAAAAAAAAAAAAATTATATTACCTATCTTATAATATATTATGCGGTAAACTGCTGCAAAAATGCTGTCTTCCTTTATGCTTTTGAAACTAAACCCTAGTTATATTTACTATTAGGCTTTTCGCCGTGCTTATTGAAATAATTTCATTGATTGCAGGGTGTTGAAACAGATAAAACTTGTAGCATGGTAGAATCTCTTAGAAAAAACGAGCGAATTCATTTAGATATCGATTCGACTATCGCTGAAGGTCTGGCTGTAAACGTGGTCGGAACAAACACGTTCTACAATATCAAAGGTCTGGTAGACAAAATGGTAAGCACATTTTGGCATTATTTACAACGGACGTTTACATGCCTAAAATTATGTTTAGAAGCAGCTTAATATCAATATCTATTTTGTTCTGCTTCTGTTCTTTTCGTACATTAGTGTATATTTATTTATCGCTTACATTTTTTTTTAATTTGTTCGTACGAAAAAACACTGAAACGATTTTGACAAAATTTCAAAAGTTCCTACTAAATTTTGTTAATATTTTGTCAGCCTCAATGCTGGGGGCGGAGGGATTACTTGTAATAAAACAGTGTTTTTTTTTTAAATACGTGTAACTTATCATTGAAAGAATCCACAAATACATCTATAAACACGGCACTTCTTCGGTATGGCAATCCGCATCTTGTGATGCCATTGTTGCCAGTGTCTAATTTTTACATAATATTATTTTATTTATATTAAACAAAATCTGATATGGATTGAAATAAGATGAAGTTGATTTAAATGAGATTATCAACAATTGGAATGAAATTAATTATAATAAATGAAACGAGATTAGATCAAATGAAATAGACTTAAATTTGTGAAAATTTATTGTGACTTCAGTGGACTTTTTAGAAAACTTGTGCACTTGTGCAGTTTCATAGATGCTAAACCTTTAATAAGCCTCCATTATTACACGTTTTCACACCACTTCGCCTTTTGCGTGACTTGTTACCTTAACGAAATATTTAAAAGTCTTCAATTGTCACGTTTGAATCTGCAGGTGGTTGTAAAGGAAGATTGGGTGGCTCGGGCCATCATGCATATTGTAGAAGAGGAGAGATTTGTCGTTGAAGGTGCCGGCGCTGTGGCCGTTGCCGCCATTATGGCGGGATTGTTTCCTAATCTTAAAGGAAAGAAGTAATATATTTTAACTGTCAATGAAGTAAAAAAAAAATCGAAGCCACGTTTTTTTTTTTTTTTTTTGTTGCTGATGTGGGTGGACGAGGTCTCAGCCCACCTGGTGTTAAGGGGTTACTGGAGCCCATAGACAACGTAAATGCGCCACCCACCTTGAGATATAAGTTCTAAGGTCTGAAGTATAGTTACAACGACTGCCCTACCCTTCAAACCGAAACGCATTACTGCTTCACGGCAGAAATAGGCAGGGTGGTGGTACCTACCCGCGCGGACTCACAAGAGGTCCTACCACCAGTAAAGCGTGTATGTTTTTATACCAGCTTGCACTGACTAAAGTTTTTCACGCAACCGTCATAGCGTTGCTATTACTCTCGGTGTTTTTAAGCATACCAAGCACCGGTCACCGGTCACATCGAATTTGACGAAGAGTTCAACATGCAACTTAACCCACAGACAGAACCTACTGAGTTTCTCGCCTGGCTTTCACAGCGAATCGCGATCCCAACCCGGTGGTAGATTTAGCGAAGCCCTATTCTTGCTAGGGCAGAAACATTCTAACAAGCAATGTATCTCAGCTTCATCAGCAGTAATCACTAACTTTACGCATACTTTTTTAAGAAATTTACTAATTTTAAATAATTTGGGTCTGTTTTAGAGTCGTTTGCATAATTTCTGGAGGTAATATTGATGTTACTATACTGGCCCGTGCGTTGGAACGCGGTATGGCCGCCGAAGGTCGGTTGGTAAAATTTAAAGTGACGGTCCACGACCGCCCTGGGGGCATGGCGGAACTATGTACACTCCTAACTAATTCAGGAATAACAATACGAGACTGCGTCCCCGAACGAGCCTGGGTCAAGGGCGATGTGTTTAGTGCCCAGGTAGGTTTGAGACAAACTCTTGAGACGTTTTTACGTTAAAGTATATTCATTTATATATTGTGTAAATAACATGGTATTATTCGTAAATGTCTGAATAGCTTTACATATTCTATGATCGTGATTTTCCGTTCCCTAAATCAATTAATTAATCTGTTAAATTTTTTAACCTTTATGTAAAAGGATTGTGAAATAATATTTAAAATTGCCTTATTTGAAGTAGGACTATATCTCGCCATACACTTCAAATGGGCTCGCCTATTATATTTGATTTCAGGTCAAGGTAATTGCCGAAACTAGAGGCTGGGAACATACGAAAGAATTGATAGAACAAATTAAGAAACATTACAAAGATTATTTCTTCCAAGAAATATGCGACCGGCCCGACAGGCCTTCGGTCGGAACTCGACGTGGGCCCTGTTTAGCACCGAATCCTGTTTGTATGCAAAAATAAGCGTTTAACCAACAATAACTATTTTTATTTAACACAGCATTTATTAAATTAAAATGTTTTTATTTATTTTATAATTCGTGTTTATTTTATTGGCTCCCGAAAAACATCCGATAATGTGTGTGTAAATAAATACGTGTACACTGTACATTTTGTACAGAGATTCGATTTTTTTATTTTTATTGCTTATATGGATGGACGAGCTCACAGCCCACCTGGTGTTAAGTGGTTACTGGAGCCCATAGACATCTACAACGTAAATGCGCCACCCACCTCGATATATAAGTTCTAAGGTCTCAGTATAGTTACAACGGCTACCCCACCCTTCGAACCGAAACGCATTACTGCTTCACGGCGGAAATAGTCGGGGTGGTGGTACCTACCCGTGCGGACTCACAAGAGGTCCTACCACCAGCGCTCAGATAGGTACCAATTTTTCAAGGAATAGGTATACGTAGCTGACACGTTCACAAACGACTTTCCCTGTAAAAGGAATAACATCGTTTAGAATAGTTTAGATCATATCCACTGAAATAACAGAAAAGTATCGTCGTACAAAACTAAGAAAACATTAAAAATTCAAATATTATTCATCCTGGTGATCCTTGTTAGGATATTATGACAAGGTAACAAAATTGTTGTATTCTCATCGGTTCTTGAAACTTATGATATTTTAGGTTAATTGGAAATCCTGAATTTGGTTGGTAAATTGTATTAAAATATTTCGTCCCATAGATATGTGGCGATTTGTACTTACATATGAGTCGTCTATTATCAAAGGTGGCAATCTGTGCATTTGGACAAAAAAATGTTATTGATATGTCAATACAGATTGATTTGAATATAATCGTCTCCTTCAAAGAATACGGTTCAAATCCTGCATTAAATAAAGGTTAATAGTTAACCTGTTATTTATCTAAGATGTCGTTCCGAAGAGTTTTGTGACTGCCAATGGAATACAAAGTCAATAATTCGTTTTTCTGATTTACCAATAATTGTCCAAAAGTCAGATTGCCGGCTTTGATAATAGTCGACTCATATATACGTACACTGGCAGCCCTTAGTGTATTGTTTAAAACTTATTGCATTACCTATTTAATAAACTTCATATATCTTGCAACTGTTTGTGGGAACGCGATGAGCAAAGTTGTGTCAATTATTTCGTTAAATTTGGTGTCTTCAAGTTTAAATGTATAATAACAACTTAACATCTTTGAAACAACAACCATTTTACTGAGACTATTTTATCCCATCTCATCTCGTTTCATTCAATTTCATCTCAAATGATTAGTCTCAAATTAATCTACTTCACCTTATTTCATAATATCATTTTTCATATAGCTGAATATTATTTCAGAATAGTAGCAGAGTATTTAATAATTGGAATTTTTATAAGTTCAACACTGGCAACAATGGCAACTCATATGCCAAATGCCAAACATAAAGAAAAAAAAACACTCAGCTTATGGTGACACAGAAAGCCCGCCAAAAACGAAAACGTAAAATTGTACTCCGAATGCGACGAAGGGCTCGACAAGTAAATTCACCCACAGGCACAGCCCACTGAGTTTCTCGCCGGATCTCCTCAGTGGGTCGCGCTTCCGATCCGCTGGTAAATTCTGCGAAGCACTGCTCTTGCTAGGGTTCGTGTTAGCAACGTCGTCAGGTTTGAGCCCCGTGAGCTCACCTACTAGATAAGGTTACGCTGAAATAGCCTCTAAAGGCTATCAGCTTAGATAGAAAAAAAAACATATTATAGCTTATTTATAATACTATTTATTTACTTCAAATATAGAACAGCATAAATATTTGGATGCGCTGTTAAATTGAAGATCGACACGAACCCAAAAATAAATAAATACAGGTCCAGCTAATAAATACATATAAAAAACTTCCGTTTTCGTTAGAAGTAGCTTTAGAATGAGTTAGCCCTTAAGCCAATAATAATACCTACTAATTTCACGGACATACTTTAAACATGAGATATACGAGGTGAACATGTCTAAAACAAAGAAGCATAAAAAAGTTGGAATCCCTCTTCGGCTCCTCAGCGAAGAAGGCGGGGTGGGCGACGTGGGCACGATGCTCCCGTTAATCTCCCGTAGGGACTGTTGGGTACTGGGTGCGGGGGCGCCCGGTGCTCTGCTGTCGGTTCCGTGGTGAGGCGGCGCAAGGTGGCTCCTATGCGCCACTCACGGTGTCTCCCGAGACGACGTCCTGCGGGATCTTCCCGGGGATTGGATCCCGTCCTATTGTCAGGACGGGTACCGGCGACGGCGAGCCTGCGGCGCGCATTGTGCGGTACCGTAGGTTTCGTGGAGTCGGAGTGGTGGAGCTCGATGGGGTTTAGTCGGTAGTCGGTTTTGCGGGGCGGGTCCTGCGTGGTAGACGCCGCGCAGCGCCTCGCGCGCCTTTCTCAAGGCGTAGTCTCCCGGTAGGAATTGGAAGAAGAGGAGGACTTTGGTCTTCCTCTTCTCCCTCTTCTTCTCTGGAGGCGCCGGAGTCCGACATAACCCGGTCTACTACCCCTTTCGACCGGGTATCNCTGGTCATGGCGTTCCGCGAGGCTGAGGAGCGCGAAAGGGAGTGGAATCCCTCTTCGGCTCCTCAGCGAAGAAGGCGGGGTGGGCGACGTGGGCACGATGCTCCCGTTAATCTCCCGTAGGGACTGTTGGGTACTGGGTGCGGGGGCGCCCGGTGCTCTGCTGTCGGTTCCGTGGTGAGGCGGCGCAAGGTGGCTCCTATGCGCCACTCACGGTGTCTCCCGAGACGACGTCCTGCGGGATCTTCCCGGGGATTGGATCCCGTCCTATTGTCAGGACGGGTACCGGCGACGGCGAGCCTGCGGCGCGCATTGTGCGGTACCGTAGGTTTCGTGGAGTCGGAGTGGTGGAGCTCGATGGGGTTTAGTCGATAGTCGGTTTAACGGGGCGGATCCTGCGTGGTAGACGCCGCGCAGTGCCTCGCGCGCCTTTCTCAAGGCGTAATCTCCCGGTAGGAATCGGAAGAAGAGAAGGAGTTTGGTCTTCCTCTTCTCCCTCTTCTTCTCTGGAGGCGCCGGAGTCTGACATAACCCGGTCTATTACCCCTCTCGACCGGGTATCCGTAAATGGATTCCCCAGCGTTAAAAAAAAAAAAAAAGTATAGCGTACCAAAGCTTGAAGTTGAATGGCTAGTACAAAACAACTGTTTTCCATCCTAAAGATTAACTCTTACCCTAATTCTCTTATTCTTCTCTTTACTGTTCTTTGTGCATTATAATTAAACTCAATGCACGATGTACCTTCACCGTTCCAAAGACAATGCCAATGCCAATCGTGTATTGATTTGTGACATTAATAATAACAACAAAAAGGACATAAACAATAATCACGCACGTTTGAACAGCTGTAAAAATAAAATAGTAACAAAAAAAATGTAATTATACCTAAATTATATTAAAATAGTCACTCTGTTTGCACCGAAATGACGTGAAATATTGAAAACAATAATTAACGACTGAATATAAATCACAATAAAATACATTGAAATAGTTTTTATGTATTATGTGTGTAATTGGAGAAATATTCTTTGGATAACGTTAAAGAAATATTATATTCAATAACAAATACAATACAATGTCTACATTAGGCGAGTCACCAGCAGTTCTTGCTAAACGCAAACATGTTAAAAACAATGTTTGGTGTCCGGTTAGTATTATCACAGCCTTTGAGTGCATCTCTTTGTTTTTGTAGAGAACTGTTTTTTAGGGTAGCCATTTCTTCAGGAAACTCGGAAATTGCTTGAAAATATTATTAGTCGGTGACTTCCGGGCAACTGGTGGTAGGAAGTCTTCTGAGTCCGCACGAGTATATACCACCACCCTCGTCATGATAATCGCCTTATCGTTGCCGCCGCTGACTACTTCCCGAATCCTGATCACGCAAGAGCCAGTCACCGTCGACGCCCTAGACACGTCCTTACGGATCCATCAGATCCAATAAATTTGCACTAGACGCCTTCAGCTCTAACACTAGGAGCAGGCTTAGGGACCCCGTTAAGCGTACTCATAGAACTCGACAAAGAGTTCGACATGCAACCTAAGCCATGCATCAGCCCGCTCAGTTTCTCGCTGGATCTTCTCAGCGGGTCGCAGTTCCGATCCGGTAGTAGATTCATTCGCGAAGCAGCTACTCTTGAATTGTTAGGTCTCTTTCGAAAGCGCTCGGACAACTGCTAGCAAATCCAACCCCTCCTGGCTGAGCCTTTTGCTCACCTGTTCTGGTGAAACTGGAAAGGCCTCTGGGCCACCAGTAAAACTTCAATCATAAAAAAAACAAAAGAAACCACCACCTTACCTATTTCTGGCGTGAAGTATTAATGCGTTTCGGTTTGAAGGGTGGGCAACTTTTATACTGTTAAAACTGTGATCTTAGAACCGTTGTCCCAAGGTCGGTGGCGGAATTTATGTTGTAGATATCTATGAGCTCCCGTAACCACTTAATACAAGGGGGACCATGAGCTCGTCCACCGATCTAAAAAATAAATATATACATAAAACATTGATGAAAGTATTAAGAGAAACCGGCCATGTACGTGTCGTACTGGACACAATAAAGGGTCACTTATTTGGGATGGAACTCCACGATTCAGTTCAACTTAAAATAGTCATATGTAAAAGTAATGAAAATTAAAAAAAAAAACGATTTTCAGAAAACAAACGTTGAGGACGACCCGTGGTGTGATCCTGACAATCCAAAGATGATAAGTTACAAAGATACGGTTAAAGCCACATCGGTTATCAAAGAATACATCGCCAAAACTCCTCTAAATGTATTTATTTCATTTGTTTCGATAAACCCGAATACTCACTGTTCCGTAATTTATGTTTATTCAATAATTTTGTTCTTTTTTAGAGATCTAAATGCTGCGTTCAGTTTAATATGGAATTGTATTACAAATTCGAAACCGTTCATCGTACGGGAAGGTCATAATTTTTTCTATCAATTATTTTAAGAACATTGTGCCATACTTACATTAGGCGATATTAGTAGATAGAAATATAAGACTCCAGCGAACTGGAGCTACTACTGCTTTTTACACGTTCCCACTGATTTGGGTCGGTCATCTAGATTCGCTGATTCTAGAATCATACCGTTTCCACGGTCAGTTGACAACAGAAAATGTCGGTTTCAAAATATTTATAAACCGAATACAAAGCACAACATACCTACATAAAGAAATTGTGTAATATCTCCCTCTTTCGCCCACTGAGTTTCTCGTCGGATCTTCTCAGTGGGTCGCGTGTCCGATCCGGTGGTGGATTCTGCGAAGCACTGCTCTTGCTAGGGCCAGTGTTAGCAACATTCCCGGTTTGAATCCCGTGAGCTCACACACGTCAAGGAGAAGCTGAAATAGCCTCTTAAGGCTATCAGCATAGGTAGGAGGAAGAAAAAAAAAGCTTAACTGTCTCTCTCTCTCTCTCTTTCGCTTTCTCTATTCTGTATCTCGAATAACTAGAGAAACGGGTAGTATTTCAATTGCTGTAAATTCTTGTCAGCCCATGGACGTCCACTGCTGGACATAGGCCTCCCCCAAGCGACGCCACAAAGACCGGTCCTGCGCTGCCTGCATCCAGTGGCCTGTAAATTAGAAATTTATAAAAAAATGTATTTGGGGACGATGCCACCTAGAGATTGAAGTTTTAATTGTAATCTATAACGAATGTTAAATTACTTCTTATTTGACAGAAATAAGAAAATCAACACACTTCCACCGTAAACTAAAAATATAATAAATCCGACAGCTTTCTCGAGCGTGCGGCCTTGTATTCATTGTCGATGTTGGATGACGAACAGCGTGCTGCAGGAGTCATAACTGCTTCTCTTGGAAACTGGGGTTTGGTTCGAAATGCTTCACAATATCATTATTCTTACCGCTACTTTTTATCGGCGAAGGTGTGCGACAACTGAGACACCCCTCACCCGATCGGTACTAGGCTGAATTTCGCTTAATTGTATTAATACAAGGTGTTAAATACAAACGTACAAGAAAAACGAGAATAACTGACAACGCTGGTGAAACCCTAAATAATAGTAGGTACCAACCGTCTAACCGCCTGGCCACGGGACATTCGCCGATGCGAATATTCGCGCGGTGCGAACGGCGAAGCGTCTAGCGACTAAAACAAGCGCATAGAAATGTACCTAACAAGCCACGCGCACCGGCGACCGGCGAAGCGACCGGCGAAATGTACCGAGCGAATCGCGCGATGCGGCGGGCGAGCAAAACAAATGCATGAATACGGACGGCGCGAGCCACGGAGTCGAGCGGTAGTCGCGGCGAATAGTGCAGTGATTAAATGAGTTTAGTTGTTTTCGCCGCGAAAAATTAACGCCGAAATTTTTATATTTTTTATTTATTTTTTATTTTATATTTTTAAAGTCGTCGTGGCCTAACGGACGTCCGGTGCAATCGTGTTGAGCGATGCACCGGTGTTCGAATATCAGGCGGGTACCAATTTTTGTAATGAAATACGTACTCAACAACACTCAACGTTCACGATTGATTTCCACGGTGAAGGAATAACATCGTGTGATAAAAATGAAATCTTCAAAATAATAATTTGCGTAATTACTGGTGGTAGGACCTCTTGTGAGTCTACACGGGTGGGTACTACCACCCTGCCTATTTCTGCCGTGAAGTAGTAATGCGTTTCGGTTTGAAGGGTGAGGCAGCCATTATAACTATACTTGAGACCTTAGAACTTATATCTCAAGGTGGGTGGCGCATTTACGTTGTGGATGTCTATGGGCTCCAGTAACCACTTAACACAAGGTGGGCTGTGAGCTCGTCCACCCATCTAAGCAATAAAAAAATAAAATAGCTGAAATACTAGCTAGACCAGCTATTTGGAAGTCTAGCCACCCAAAGTATTTCTCGTACTTCTTGTGGAATTCTCCATCTATAGGTATACTCCGATTCTTATTCAAATCATGTACTTCACAATCTTTTCCAAATAATAGGTCCTGAACCAAAAAACTATTAATTTGTAAGCAATATCGAGATAATTTCGATATAGACATTTCGCTGTCGGACTTCCTTACTAGTCGCGGCGGCGAACGTGAGTACCCGTGGCCTGCAAACGGTGCTGCGCGAATGGTCGCCTCGCCCACCGCTTCGCTGTTCGCACCGCCGATCCCCGTGGCCAGGCCGTAAAGCAAAACAACATGGACATTTCAATGAAGCGTCGAATTCTGAATAATATTTATTTATTTCTCTCTTAAAGGTATGGTACAAATACAAAATAACGTTTTATTTTGTTAGCCTTTGAAAGAGCTGAAGTCTGTGCTAGATGCAAATACCTGTATTACTGATCTCCAAGCTCCTTGCTTCCTAGGTTAGATTTAATGAAGTTATTTTTTTCATATTCTGGTTTCAGGCTCTAGCCTATCATGGTCAACGTCTTAATGTTCCTGTCACTGTCGTAATTCCATATACTGATAAATGCAAAGTGATATTAAGATGCCAAAACTACGGAGCTAACATCATACAGCACGGAAATGATCTTTCCGAAGCCATAAGAAAAGCATTTATCATAAAATCCGAAATACAAAACTTGACTTACATAAATGGGTAAACTATTGCATACGCTAATTGAGTTTATAGAAAAAGGAAATTAAAAAAAGATATTTGAATACCTATAAATTTTATAATATTTAACAGTTACGACCATCCTCATGTGATAGCGGCCTCCGGTTCGATCGCGTTGGAAATTTTAGAGCAGCTCCCGCAAACCGATGTTGTTCTTGTGCCTGTCGGTGGAGGAGGGTTGATTGCTGGCATAGCAACGGTCGCCAAGAAATTGAAGCCGGAAATAAAGATTTATGTACGCTTGTAATTATTCTAAATTTTAAACTTTTATTTCCATATACTTAAAACACGAACGAAAGACTTTTGATTTCGAAATAAACAACCCAGTTGCTACTAGATGATCTAAATCATAATATCTAAAATACTATAGGGAATCGAACCGAAGAAATGTTGCAGCTTCTTCAAAGCCATGGAAAATGACAATCCGTTTCAAACTGTGGTTGGAGCAACAGTCGCTGAAATGCTTGCAGTACCGAAGGCAGGTTGCAACGCTTTTTACACAGCGAGGTCGCTTATAGACAAAATGGTATATCGCTCAATAAATTGTCTGTGCTTTATATTATGCAAGCAAGTACACGCAATAATCAATAAATCACTTAAAGGTTTTAGTCGAAGACAATTGGATTTCTAGAGCAATTTTACATTTGACTGAAGAAGAGAAAATGGTCACGGAGGGTGCGGGTGCGACTGCTTTAAGCGCTTTCTTTGCTACTCCCATTATTTTACCAGAACTCAAAGGGAAAACGTCAGTATCAATAGCATTCATATAATTAATTAATAACGTGTCATTTGTAACAAAATAACCACGCTTAAACCCGACTAATCCAGACAGAGAGAAAGAGAGTAAAGTTATAAATGGCGTCCTTTGGCTAAATGGCTAATTGGTTGACTAAATGGTAGGGTAAATGGCTAATTGATGGAAAGTCTATCTGGTTAAAGCGAAAATTCACTTAATACGTGACATTTGTTTTATAATTAAGGGCCCGTTTATTTGGTATTCGTAATAACAATTCGTTTTTTTTAATTGATCTTTAATTAAGTTTACCTTACTCAAATAGCTGAACTAAAGTGTTATATTTTTTCCTAATTTTAAACTTTAAATGGCTCTCCTGTAAAGTTGCAAAAATAACCCTCAGACACAGCCCACTGAGTTTCTCGCCGGATCTTTTCAGTGGGTCGCGCTTCCGATCCGTTGGTAGATTCTTCTACGGCTCTTGCGACGGTTCGTGTTAGCAACGTCATCAGGTTTGAGCCCCGTGAGCTCACCTACTAGTTAAGGCGACGCTGATATAGCCTCTCAAGGCTATAAGTTCAGGTAGGAAAAAAAAGGAAAAATGTCGCTTAAACCTCGATACCATCTCTCGATATATATATTCTGAAATCTCGATCGAAGAGAAACGGTACCTGTCCCACATTCTTAGCAATATTCATCATTCATCATAATTGGTTACTCTTCGCAGAGCAGTCGTGGTCATGTGGAATTCTTGTTTATTAAAGTCTTGACAGATGTTTTCCATAGTTTGCGAACTGAGGCTTGGCGCACGCACTTATCACAAAAGTTTTTAAAATAATCAATATATCAAAATAATCAGAAATAAATCGACGCTATAGTAATGCCAAAATGAGTTTATTTGTAAGTTTTAGTTTTAGAACCTGAGGATAGCTCGAGATAGCTGCTAGGGGTTGAATTAGAAAGAGTAACCAGTTTTTGCGCCATAATGTGACGATGCAAAAAAATTAGCATCCATAAATTTAGAACATATTTAATTATTATAGAATAACAAGTATAAGACGGATTAAATTTTCACACCTACATTGTCATTAATACTAAAAATACACTTATTTATCCGGTGTTTTAATTAAATAAATGTATTTTTCTGTTTTCCAGTGTGGTTTGTGTTGTTTCGGGAGGTAATACTGACTATTTCACCTTATGCCGAAACATTGAGCGAGCAAAGGCCATCGAAGGTCGTCTCATTAAAATGAGGGTAAGAACTAAAACGCTCCGTAATTTAAGTTTCGCGATGAATGTCTCATATTTATTAATTTTTTTAATACAGTTCACACTTTCTGGCGACCAGCTTACGGAGCAAAGAGTAAAGATTCTACGGATTATTGCCAAGACAAGTTGTAATATTCTTCAATGTCAGTGTGAAGAAGCTCTACTGGAAGAAAGCTTTCGGAAAATCTACGTAATACGCATTGAAATTTAAGCATTATCTTTATTGTTATGAAGAGCTCACGGCCTACCTGATGTTACCAAGACATCACGGCATGAATGCCGCCGCCTTTGTGACATTGGATTAAAGTCTCAATTGCATTGGAGCACCAAGTATCTACTTAGCCTTTCAACCAGAATCCGGGATTGTTCCGCGGTCAAGTGTCATTCATGTGTAAAAGACGATTGTGCCGACATACCGACCTATACCAACATACATAGCAGTGCGGTTCCCGGCTCAGAATTGGATCAATCCATATCTTCCAGTGGGTGTCGTAAAAGGCGACTAAAAGTATTTTTCTGGCTACCGTCTTATACCAACGATAGGTTTGCCAAGGAGAATTGACGACGTGTAGGCGGCCGGTCGTAAGGCTCTTGTCAAATTCCTATGCGGTATGATATGATGACCTGAATAGAAAAGACACGCTGCGTCGACCCCCACATGTCACATGTCTGTTAACACCAGGTGGGCTGTGAGATCGTCCACCCATTTAAGCAATAAAAAAAAAACAAAAAAAAAACACATTGTGTGCGATAAGGGCAAGAAAAAGAAGACGTCAAAACTAAGCTAGCAATGTTTAGAAAATATTTAGTTATTTTCGAATAAATTTGTTTGATTTATCGAGATAGGGACTCTCTTTCATCATCAGTCTACAGGCATCCACTACTACACGAGGTTCACCCGAATAACCTATAGAAGATTCTATTCTCTATCTTTGCTGGAGAAGATTCTATTCTCCTTTAATCCTATTTATTCTTTTTAGTTCACACTTATCTGTGAGACGGCGAGTCACGAACACGCCTGTGTTGTTAAACGTATCATGGACAGTATGTTTCTTGATTACAAGTTTTCCGAAGATCCTTATAACCCGATACAAAGCTGCGTTTGCTTCCCGAACCCTATGCTTTATTGAATCATTAAAAGATATTCGAACGATAACTGCTTTTTTTGTGTTGACTTTAATGGTTAGATAGTCTCGACGTTCAGATATCAAAGTATGATTACTATCTCACACCAAATTTAGATTTCTTTATAACACACACAGTCGTCTTATTCGTTGAAGACTTCGCGGCAAAATACGAATGGTACCGGTCTACCACCAGCACGTAGTTCAGTTCTTGAAACCGTAAATAATATAACTGGTATCGACAATTACATATTTATTTCTTTTTATTTAACACAATTCATGCACATTATCGTAAATTAGTGGACTTAATGCTTAAGGCATTATTTACCAGTCGACGAAGGGTGATACAGAAAAGAACTTAGTAGGTGCATTGTTTAAATAACTAAAGGAAATCTATAGTGCCGTCGAGTATTCTAACAAACTTCAAAATAATAAAAAATTAGCCACTTTTTTTAATTCTTACGTAGATTGGTGATCAATATCTGGTCCTTGATTAGTGGTTACCGATGCCTTGAGATGCATATCTTAATTATAAAGTGATTACCTACGTAAATTTTAATTCCTGCGAGTTTGGTTTTTATTACACGATTTTATTATTATTATTCAAAGTTGAAGTCATTCGTGAGCTCGAGGTAAGAACGTATTTGATTAGAAAAAAAAAACCCGTGCCTACGGGATTTGAACAGCGATATAATTGCATCGTTGAATGTGCGTCTCTCTGCGAAGTATTTTATGCAGATATCCCGTACTAATCTTCTTTCTATACATAAAAGGTATTGTCATTAGCGACAAACCACAATGTTTAAATTGTTTACAAAGAAAACGTCATTGTAATGTTACATTAGATTTTTATTACGAAAAAAAATTTCATGTTTTAACAAAATCCTACAGATTGATTTCCTCACCCTTTGACCAGTATCGTTATGTCTCGCCGGCACGTGAGTATATGTACCTTTATTTGTCCTACATACATAATAATACGTTAATCCTATTTTCAACATTATATACCTGATTGTTTCCATCCAAATACACAATCAGGAAGATTTTGATGAATTCTGTGACCCGGAGAATCCTAGACCAATCAAATATGATGAAGTAAAAGATGCATTGGAACGTTTAAGTCCGTTTATTACAAAAACCCCATGTATGGTAAGTTCCTTGACTATTTAAAGGCTAATTTAGTTCACAAGCTCGAGGAATAAAGTTGAATATCCATTATTATTTTTTGCATAGTTAGCAAATCACGGCCCTACTAGTGTTAAATGCTTCGGAGCCTAATGGTAAACATTTTAAATATTGTACCTAATTTATCTTATGTTACGAATGTCCCATAGACCAAACTGGAACTATTTAAATGTATATATGTGCATAGAAATGATATTAAAGTAGTTTCTAGAAAGATTATACTCGTAAAACTACAAACACATACCTACATTTATTTTTCATAGCTTTTTTTGACTTTTTTCAGCCATCTCATCACCAACGTGAATTTACTATGAAATTATATTACAAGATTGAGTCAATGCAGATAACGGGAAGGTACCTAATCAATTAGTGTTACACATATATACTATGTTTTCGAACTTAATTTGAATTATTTACCATTTTTGATCTCGTTAACAAAAAAAAACCATTTTATTTCAGTTTTAAAGAGAGGGGTTCACTAAACGTTTTGCAACTGTTACCATTAGATAAAAAGAAGATCGGCGTCGTGATAGCTTCAATAGGCAATGACGCCATTGGTATATGTCACTACGGCGCCAAGCTCGGCATACCAGTGGTTGTCGTGGTGCCTGTGACAATTCCCATATGTAAACTGCAAAACTGTTACAGTCTCGGCGCAAAAGTTATCCTAGAAGGAAGCAACTTGACGGAATCTCAAAGATTTGCGAGATCGTTGGCGAAAGATAAAGGACTTACGTATATTAACGCGTAAAACAATTTTACATTTTTTTAGAAAACCTCTAAACTATTTCGTGATTAAGATTCTAGCATGATAATGGCAAAGAAAACTGTTAGAGAAGTTATAAGTACATATATCAGCAGGCTATCTGGTGCAACTAAATTGTCTTGCGTCCACTAAAATGGATTTGCTTAACATATGCTAAAATAGCAATTATTTTATGAATTCGAGTATTCAGAAATAACTGTAATTTTTTTCCCTAATGGGGGTGAACATTTTACGCGTCCAGAATTTGCGGTCGTGGAAGGCGAGCCAATTTGTCGCGAGCGAGCGATTGCCAATTTCTTCGACTTTATTGACAGACGCGTTGAATATACCTAATTTTAGTAAAACCAAAATGATTTCTACTTAGTAATAGATTTATGTCTCCGACCAGTAGATTATTTACTTTTCGGCTTCGAAAACGATTTAAATACGCCCTGTGTACTACCTACCTAATACTCGTAGTTTCTGTCACTATTTGTATTAAGGATTTGGTTTTGTAGAAGATCTAACGTCTAATTATTTGTTGATCCCAAATAAGTTATATTAACTACTTTTGCCCACAACTCCGTCCGCGCGGAATAGTTACTTTGGCATAACGCAAAATTTTACCCCCCCCTTCATTTACGTAGAAAGTGAAAATATTTTTGAATTATAGAATATTAAGGAGCCATTTAAACCCCTATTTTGAAACATTCTTTATTGGTGCTCCACTTGTATTGGTCTTACCGTGATGTTATATAGCCTTATAGCCTTCCTCAATAAATGGACTATCTAACACTGAAACAATTTTCAAATCGGACCAATACTTCCTGAGATTAGCGCGTTCAAACAAACAAACTCTTCAGCTTTATAATATTAATTAACTATACATTTATATTCTCTGTACAATTAATTGTATTATTTGTTTATTATTTCATAGACGCGACCATCCTCACATCCTAATGGGTTACGGTACATTAGCACTGGAAATTTTGGAACAAATTCCGCTTGTTGAAGCAGTTATTGTTCCAGTCGGCAGCGGTGGTCTGATCGCGGCAGTTGCCGCCGTTATCAAACATATTAAACCAAATTGCCTAGTTTATGTTAGTTAATTCTCAGTTATTTACAAATTCACATGATTCTTATAACCTTTTGCGGCTTTGGCACGCTGTGGTTTAATGGGGCCTTACCACAATTGTCACATTTCTAGGACATCAAAATCTCGAGAAATCGTGTACCTACTATTAAAGTCGTGGTAAGAGCCCGTTAAATAGTAGTGTGTATAAAATTGACTTTAACTTTGAAATGACTAATAGGTACTAGTACTAGTAGTTATTGCTATAAATGATTAACACAATAAAATCCGTAGGGAGTGCAATCAGAAAACATACCGGCTTTCTTTAAATCTTTGGAAATGGACAAGCCGATACAAGTGCCAATGCAAGATAATATGGCAGATGCAATATCCGTGCCAAATGTCGGTGTCAATGCATTCCATACTGCAAAAACTCTGGTAGACAAAATGGTTGGTCAATAAGGGTTAGAATTGCGTTAACTTAAAAAAAACTATATGCCTGATTAGTAAAATTCTTGCAAAATTTAACTGTGTAGAAGTTTATGACCTCGTACAGTAAGATCACTGTTATTATTTTTGTCATTACCTTATGGTATCCTATGTGCTTGTCTATCAAAACACTATTGTAATAAAGGTTTTTTTTTGCATTTAAGCTATTGGTAAATCAGGACTGGATAGCTCGATCAATTCTGCATTTAATTGAGAAAGAAAGATTTGTAATAGAAGGAGCAGGAGCTTGTCCGCTCGCTGCGATTCTTGGGAATCTCGTTCCTGAGCTCAAAACAAAATAGTTAGTACCTACTTATATCTAATCGGTTGGCTAAATTCTATATTATACTAGCGACCCGCTCTCGCTTCGCTTCGGAAACATTAAATTTTATAATTAATAGCAGAGTCCCGCGAAGCTACCCGCGGTTATTTTCGTACCGCGAGTGACGCCGCGGGGCGAAGCTAGTCTAAATAAAGTAGCCTAAGTTACTCTTTAGATCATCAGCTACCTATCAGTGAAAGTCTCGTCAAAATCGGTCCAGCCGTTCCAGAGATTAGCCGGAACAAACAGACAGATAGACAGACAGACAAACAAAAATAAAAAATAATGTTATTTTGGTGTATGTACCGTATATATATTCATATGCACGTAATAAAAAGCGGTTATTTCAATGTTACAGACACTGCAATTTTATTTAAATGTTTAATAAATTCTGACAACGTATAGCTGATGACATACACAAACTCGTTTAAGATGTTTGAGCGCCACAAATTACAAAATATATTAGCGAAGTTACAACGTAATCATATTATTATACGTTCGAACAGAACGTGAACAAACAAAACCACGAATAATATTACACACCTACCTATACGAACAATTTTCCGATTTTATATTCGCAAAATTATCGAAAAAGGAACCAATATTGAAATTTTTTAAACTACATTCACGATTTAATCTCGGGTCTATTACAGTAATACAGGGTCATCCGTGACCTCAAAAACTGTAAATTATTCGAAACGTCCGTGATAAAATAATGACGATAAAAAACGCAAGATTAAATTCTTTATATTTTATGTATTATTAAGATTATATTCTTTAGAACAGTTTTAATTCTATCAACCTCTCGCAAAATCCAAAGAAAATCTAATATGGAAATTATTTTAATAATCACTAAATAAGTGATTTATCATGGCCAATGTGTTAATGCTAATTTTAAAAGGAAATACGAGATAATCGTACACTTTTTTTCAATATTTTCAGTGTGGTCGCCATTCTCAGCGGGGGCAATATTGATTACACTTCTCTGATACGGTCCTTACAAAGAGGACTATCTGTAATTGGAAGGCTAGTCAGATTTAGCGTAAGACTTAAAATTTACTATAGCAGTTCCTATAAAAAGTCATGTCTTCTTCTGTAGAGTTACATATTGAATGGTATAAAAATTTAGATGTTAAAATGGATATTAAGCGAATCTAAGCACTAAGGGTGTCAAAAATGATTACACTCTGTCTCAAACATAGGCTTTAAACTTCGATCAATTAACTATTTTTACTTAGAGTACTAGACAGAGATCATGAAAAAACACGTCGCTAACGTAGCATCGATAGCTTAAACAGACTTACAAAACTAGAATGAATTGACACAGTTTTAAAAAACGTCAATTGTTCGAATTTATTTTCAACTTGGACACCCAAATATAATATGGTTATACTGGTTTGTGCTTATGACCTTGTGTCACCATTGCGACAGGTACCTACTAAGCATTATTGAAGGCTTAAACGGAAAGCCATCAGCTATGAAATAAATTATTATTTTATATAATCTTTGATACCATTAATAACTCCCTGTAAAAAAGTTTTGCATTGTCATTTCTGTCAGATTTCTTACTGTCACAGGTTGGCGTTAAAGATGATCCAAAAGCTTACAGTCAATTGCTATCGCTAATAGCCAACGGAGGGTATAACGTGGTTCATCAGTTCCAAGATCGAATTTGGGTGGAAGGCAGCGACTATACGATCGAGGTATTTATATTTACGGTTCCGTATCCAAATTAATGAAGTAACCCTTTTATCTTCCACGTGTCCGATAATTTTACGCAGAAACTATTGGCAATAAGGTTATATACAAATTTAGGTGGAAATTTTAGGTATATATCGAGATTGTAGAACTCTTAAAGTTACATAAACAATTTTTTTAACTACGGCATTTAAAATCAAACAATAAATAAAATGTATCTCTATCTCTCTATCAGCCCTCTAAACATTTACACTAAAAGTAAAATCTGGATTTAAGATGCACGTATATTCATCTAGCGCTTGAGAATAAATTTCTATGTCAATGATGCCTAACACTGAAACCCGCCACATCATTTTTTTTTAATCCTTATGTGGTCGCACGAGCTCACAGCCCACCTGGTGTTAAGTGGTTACTGGAGCCCATAGACGTCCACAACGCAAATGCGCCACGCAACTGCTTCACGGCAGAAATAGGTCACACTCAAAAGAGGTCCTACCACCAGTACCTAATTGCGCAAATGCGTTAATCCCATTTTAAGCACTGCCCTGTCCTTTTCTACTGCAAAGCAGTCCTGCATTCCCGTTTGAAAGTTGGGATAGCCAGCCATAATGTAGCTTTATCTAAGCCATTTTGTTTTTTAGCAAATTAGCAGTTCTCAAGTTGATTCGTGTCTTAAGTGTCTCGGTAGCGGCATTTACGTTATGCAATAAACATATATTTAAATGTATATAATAAATAAATATAGGTACCAATCTCACGTTCCCACAGTACAGGGTGTCTTAGTACGGGGCCAAATGACCGTACGATTTCCACCCATATTTCCAGGACGACTAACAAACACAAGAGATGATTTAAGCTTGAGGTCGCTGAAGGTTTATTTGAATATATGTTTTATTTCATTCACATTTACAGATCAAATTAGTTTGTGAAACTAGAAACCTAGAACATGCCTTAGAACTGAAAAGGATAATAGAGAGGGCGTATCCTTACACCTCCGAGTTCGAGACTGAACCTTTTAACGATAAAAGAATGTGCCCGTGCTACGGTCGAGTCGCTACGTAAAGCTGAAATTCTAAACAAATTTTATTATTTTCAATAACTATCTTTTTCTTTTAACAATTACTCATATTTTTATTATCGCATTGTTTTCATTTCGGATGTAATAAATTCAATATTCATCTGATAACAACAGAGGTTAACAGTAATTTTGATATTTTAGTTTCATTTGTGTAAATTATACAATAAGTAACGATTAGCCTTAACAAATACATTAAACTTGGACATAATTTATGTATATCACGTTTCTCCATGGGATTATTTTAATGAAGTAAAATTCAATGTAATCTGCATAAAGAAAACATTTTTATTAATTTTTTAAACATTACAACAACGCTTTTATCCAAATCACATGTTTATCTCTTTAATAAATATTATCACACCATTGTATACCAAAAAAAAAATGTTTAATTATAATTTTTATCCATAAAACTGGCCATTTTGATATCCCTTTTGCTCAATCCATTTACGTCATGTGAAGAAAGTGTCACCTAAAACAAGACATAGATTACAGGCATTTTATTACCACAACAAATGTACATTACATAGTATTTACATCACTTGTAGGGCACGTTGCTTTTTTTTCTTGCTTTGATTGGTGGACGAGCTTACAGCCCACCTGGTGTTAAGTGGTTACTGGAGGATCCCATAAACATCCACAACGTAAATGCGCCACCCACCTTGAGATATGAGTTCTAAAGTCTCAAGTATAGTTACAACGGCTGCTCCACCTTTCAAACCGAAACGCATTACTGCTTCACGGCAGAAACAGGCAGGTTGGTGGTACCCACCCGCGCGGACTCACAAGAGATCCTACCACCACTAAAGAATTGAGAAGTTTCCTTATTTTTCACCCGTAGTAGCTGTACACTATTTTATTTTCCTACACGGATCTCTAATTTCTAACCCAAGTACTAGGTAAGTTACAATATAGGCCCGCACGTAATGGAACGACAATTTTCCCCCAAATCAATTCAGAATTAATAATAACAATAACTGGAAACTAATCGCGCACGGTCACGGAATTCCTGGGATCCTCTGTGTTACCGAAGACCGACATGCATACGTATACACGTTTAAATATAAAGGGTCTTTCAAATAGGGCGGGTCGATGTTGACAGTTTGTGGCGGCCATGTTGTTTTGGTGGCATCTGTCAGATGCGCTGTTATTTCTTCAGTTACTGATGCCAAATCACCATGGCAAGTTACAAGATTGAGCAGCACGTCCAGATGATAAAATTTTATTATCAAAATGAGTGTTCATTAGTGCAAACGTTGCGCGCATTACGTCCATTTTACGGCAGACGCGGTGGCCTTTCAAAGTCGACTCTCCAACGTTTGGTGACCAAATTCGAGACGACTGGTTCGCTAAACAACCAACCAACACCCTTACGTCAAAGGAACGCCAAATCGGCCGAGAACATCGCTGCTGTCCGTGAGAGTGCAGGAGACTCCGAGGCAGTCGATTTCTCGCCGTGCACAAGAACTCGGCTTTTCAAGTCGGCAAGACTTCAAGTTGGCGAATTTTGCATCAGGACTTAAGCCTACACCCGTACAAGACCCAACTGACCCAGGAGCTTAAAGTGAATGACCATAGACAACGTCGTTTGTTCGCTGACTGGGCTACAGAACGTTTGGAAGAGGATCCCGATTTTGGCCGAAAAATCATCTTTAGCGACGAAGCGCACTTTTGGATGAATGGTTTTATTAATAAGCAAAATTGCCGTATATGGGAGGACCACAACCCACATGAGGTTCACCAGGTGGTAATGCATCCACAAAAAGTTACTGTTTGGTGCGAATTTTGGGCCAGCGGCGTCATCGGTCCGTATTTCTTGGAAAACGATGATGGCGAGAGCATTACTGTCAACGGCGAGCGCTGCAGATCAATGATTAACAATTTCTTTTGGCCTGAATTGAACAATATGGACGTCGATAGCATGTGGTTCCAACAAGACGGCGCTGCGTGTCACACAGCGAGCGACACAATGGACGCAGAGGTGAAGTGAATTGGCCACCAAGATCATGCGATTTGACCCCGCTAGACCTTTTCTTGTGAGGTTTTCTCAAGTCGCAGGTCTATGCCAATAATCCGCAATCAACCGATGCCCTTAAAAGTCAACATAACGCAAGCCATCGCTCAAATTCAGCCGGATCTATGCAGTAGAGTAATAAAAAATTTGACCTCTCGGATCCGTGCCACCGTTCTAAGCCGCAGTGGACATTTAACCGATGTCATATTTCATAAATAATGGCATAATTGGGCCATTCAAATAAATAAATAAATTCTTTAATATCTCACATACAGCTTGTTTTATTTAATTTCAACATCGACCCGTCCTTGTTGAAAGACCCTTTATATATACATAAATCAATAATAAGGACCCAGACAAAGGGCAAACAAACTTGTTCATCACACGAATGTTTGCCCGGTGGGGGAATCCAATCCACGACTCTCGGCGCAACAGTCCGAGGTGCTAACTACACCATCACTTAGTCAGCCAAAAATATTTTCTATCTGAAGTTTACGATAGCAGTTAGGTATGTGCAACATAAAATCTGATAAATCTCAATATAGAACGGTTTTTCGTAAACTTTAGCAGACTTATAAAATAATCAGATTTTTCTCGTCCTTAATAGATAATATCAATTTACTAGGTAATTTTTATTTTTCAACAAAACTATAATTACAAATTTGGATATTTTCATTTAGATGATAATATTTTATGTTGATTTTCTATTAGAGATTAAGTAATTATTAAACTTAAACGGATTTTTCATGTTTTTAGGTTGTTTAAATCATTCACGTTAACACTTCACGTTGGGTTTTTAGTCAAGTATGTATGATTAGGAACCGGAAGCAGAATACATGCTCGTTATTATTTTAAAATGGTGTATAGTTTATTCACAGTAGTATAGTGTATATCAGGTGCAACTAGGTATGCTTTGATTAAGTTCATCCATGTTTTGAGTATTATTTGCCTTTTATTCCCCTTTCCTAGGCTATAAGTATCAGTTTTTATTTTTTGAGATACCTACCTACTTGTTAATAATTAAATGCGCTTAATGAGATTAACATTCGCTTCGCAATATAAAAATAAGCCTAGTACCAAGAGTACCGATAAAAAATAACGATTTAGTTAAACATTTCGAACGTACTTGCAACTTGTTGTATACATTGAACCACTCAGGATGATGATCCATTTTCTCAGCTAGCAGCGCGACCCTCGTCATGAATCCAAAAGCTTCATTAAAATTTTTGAACTGAAATTCCTTTTCTATGGCGTCTCTGTTGCTTTGAATTTTCCAACCAGATTCCAGTAGAGGTTTGAGCTCAGTTGTGCGCTCCTCTTGATTAAGTTTATCAGCCTGCATGAAACATAAAAAAAGATTGATTAAACATTAATTCAACGGTAATGTTTAGTATAATATTTACTAAAACTAATACAGTACAGAATTATTGCATCACTGACTGACGATAACGTTAATTCATTACCATTTTCCTTTTACTCGGTGATGTCGAGGACACACTGGCGTAACGGACGGCGGCAAGGCTGCGATTGATCGCGACGGTCCGCGCCGGTCGGACCGACCTCGCGGGGTGAAAGTGTATCGCTATCGAACGTGCACTTAACAAATACCCATTCGCAAACGTCATAGTTGTCTTATTCATTTAAGGAAATTTATGCTAATTCTTTTCGTCCTAAAATTTAAGATATTATATTTAACTGTAACAACTGTAATTAATTTGTTCATAGAACACAATAGTATTTGTGTGTATGTGTATGTACATATTTGTCTCCAATGAAAAAATGGCTTGCTTGTTTAGTATAAAAACAAATTATAATAAATTTAAGTGTAATTTACTATTGATAGAATTTGAAGGATAGGATTTATAGATTTTAGAATAGACATTAGAAGAAAATCAGGCATACCTAAAAACTGTTTTTTAAAAACCATATCTACATAGATATTAATTATAGGACAAGGCAGAAAAAAATCATAAAACGCTTTTATGTTTCTTTATTTTTTATATGTTATTACAATAATTTTAATCTATACTTTGAATACCATTTGATGTTATTGTAAACAGAGTTGAAGAATTTGCCAAATCTGGGGCAAAGACAACAGAAATCTCTCTAGCGAATAATTTATTTTGACCATCAGAATCACTTTTACAAACACCACTATCATCAATAACTGACTGGGTGGTTTTGCTAATTTTTAATCTCGTAGAAACCATATTAGACCAAGCAAGACCAAGTGCAGGATGAATAGAATCTGAGTCAGCAAACGATGCTGTAACTTGATTTATGCAGACAATAGCTATATTATACTGCTGGGCTAAGGTGATCAGCATAATGGCTAGTTCTCGGAGTTCTCCAGCTCTCTGCACATAGTCAGTACTCTCCACTCTAAATGGAGCAGCGATAGAATCAATTACAACGAGAGACACAATATTTTGTTGCAGCAATTTAGGAAGCTGCATTCTAATACAAAATTGTAAATCTTTTGCTTCTGAAATGTGTTCAACAAAAACATTTTTACCATAGTCTTGATCTCTGCTCTTTATAGAACTCATTATTTGATTAAATCTTTTAGCTGGAAACAAATCCTCAGTGCAAATGTATACAGAACATTTAGGTAAATTATGTATTGAGGTATAAAGGACTAGTTGAGTTTTTCCTGAACCACTTTCACCAAATATTTCATTGATTGTTCCCGTACGAAACCCACCACCTAATATATCATCTATTTTAGAACAGCCCGTACTTATTTTACAATTTTTCACAAGTAATTCACGACATGTAAAACTTTTAGCACTGATATGATCTGATACAATATTTTTTACTAATTGGATGTCTTTGCTATGCATTCTCGTGAGTCTTTTTATATCCAAAATTGATAATATCATTATTTCTTTAGTACTAGATATTCCAGCTCTATCAATAGCTTCAAACAAGTTTAATGGCAAAATTCTTTTTAAATACATGTTTTTTTTAAAGTGTCGGTATTATATGAATTAAAACAAAACGCAATATTATAAAACTCAAGGAAACAATTAGCCTTTAAATATTCATCATAAACTGACCAGCTGAGTTATTAAACGCAAACCAAATCACAATCACATGTTTAGTAATATTTACAAAACAACACATGGAGAAATAACATTAATTAAAGTGCCACCAACTTATCTGTGCTGTGAAGTGGCAAAAATACAAACTACGGTCGCCATGTTGAAATGTCATTCGACATTCGACTGTCAATGTCTACTACTTTCAAGTGCTCCGTGTGTTTTATTGCGATACTTCTGAATTTTAAGCGTTAAATATGCCGAAAGCTATAAAAAGTGATGCCCGGAGTATTATTCTAAAGGTGAAATCATTTTTTGAAGAAGAAGCTCGGCTGCAGGCACCTATCATTCCGTTTAATCAAGTATGCAAACGGATTTCGGCTACAACAGGTTAGTGCTGTCAGTTTATACTATATAAATTACCCAAAATGATAATAGGGATGGAGACAAATATGAGGATTGAACATTTTTTTACATAATAAGATAAAACATTCTTGTACAAGAGGGGTGTAGCAACCTACAGGCCCATTGTTTTAGACCTGTTTTATGGAGGATAAAATTTCCTCAAATTCCGTGAAATCCAAAAGAAGGTGTTGGACGGTTAAATTTGAGGGGACTGGGTTCTGTAGGTTGAGGGGATATCTAAAAACTGCTTCATGGTTAATATAATTATATTGAAAATACTTTGTACATTATTACACCATTACAATATTTTATTTGTATAAAACTCTAAGATGTTGCTCTGACCGTGTCTTGATGAGAATTCATTGTCTTCACTGAAGAGAAGACAATTATTTGTTATAAACATTTAAATACGTATTCCAATATTCGAAATCTGAAACCTTACATGTGTCAAGTGTTGCCTGCCATTGCTTACATATTCAAGCACCAACAGTAGGATATCAATAATATATTTATAAATCAGTTGTTACTGTTTTAAAATAGTTACTCTGTTATTGTTCTTTCTGTTCACTTCTCTTCACTCTGTTATCATAAAAAATTTTGATAACGACGCTCTATCCACAGTCGCCACTCAGCTCTTACAAATAGTATATGATTACAATGAATTTATTTCTCTACCACACAAGTTTAATCACAAAACATTTGTTACAGGTGTAACAGTTGTAAAGTTCTGATGGAGCGTAATGAAGTATCGGCTTGGAGAGCGAGGTACTTGCGTGAAGTGTATAAAAATAATAAATCACCCAACCCCTGGCCTCTGATTTATTTAGATGAAACTTATATTCACTCTTCACATACATCTGGCAAATGTTGGTAAGGAGAGGGTGTAGAAGGAGTATTAGAGCCTGTATCAAAAGGTCAAAGATATATTATTGTTAATGAGGGAGGAGATGCAGGATTTCTTAAAAATGCACTCGCAGTATTTAAATCAAATATAAAAGGCGGTGACTGGCACGATGACATGAATAGTGCCAATTTCAAAAAATGGGTGATTGAAAAACTTGTACCTAATTTAATAGAGCCATCAATTATTGTAATGGGTAATGCTCCTTATCACCGGTTTGCGTGAATAAAGTCCCAAATTCAAACGCTTTAAAAAAAGATATGCAGTTATGGCTTAGGCAAAATAAAATCGAGTATGGAGAAAATTTAACTAAACCCCAGGTGTTAGAAATAATTAAAAGAAACAAACCTGAGCCCATATACGATTTACTCCCCTATCACTATGACCTTAATCCAATTGAATTAATATGGAGCACAATGAAAAGAAACGTGGCCAGCGTAAATATTGATCACAAAAATGATGAGATCTCTCGCTTGGTAATAGAAGCATTTGAAGTTATTTCAGTTCATGAGTGGAAACAGCATTGTCAGCATTTTCGTAGGCTAGGAGAGTATTTGAAACAGGACTCGTATTTAGATGAACCTTTTATAATAAATGTGACAAGTGACAGTGCAACTGAGAGTGATTCGATGAGTGCGGCATGGAAATTGAAGGAGTATGGCCTCTCAACCAGGATGATGTTGCACATTCTTCAAAAACTGTGTTTGACCACAATTATTGCAAACGTGATTTTCAATAAATCGTAAAAAACATTTTTTTTCTTCTTTTACTTACATCTCCTAACTAGGCCAACCACTAATATCTAGATGGGTCTTTTAACAAGAATCTTTGAAGAATCTAAACGATTGAAACTCTTAACCTCCTTGTCAAAAGGCTATCGCAGTAGATTGACACATAACGTTATATATATTACAGACAGAATCCCTATGTCACATAGCAGTTTTTTTTCCTATGAATGTGGTGTTATAATTTATCGTGTTTTTACGAATCTAAGTAATATAACTAAAAATGTTTACTTTCCCGTCTTTAATGCACATTGGAATTAATAGCAACACTAAAACGACGATGGCGACCCATCAGTTCACAGATAAGTTGGTGAATGGTGACACTTCATAGATTATACACATAGTGACACTTGATAACACTGTACTTTGGTACCGTACACTGAAGTAGGAAACCTAATAGGTCTATGGTACCGTACTAGATAGGTTTTGTAGCAGGTACTTATTTTGGTACCTAAATTTGTGATTACGAGGCGGAGAGTCTTACAGTAATTTATGTAATGGCGTGTAATACTTGTGCGAAACCTTTCAATTTACTGCGGAAAGAAGTAAGACATATTTTGAACAATGCATTGCTATGTATAGCACTTTTTTGAAAATGAAAATTTAAATTATAACAATATTTTTCCAGAAGGGATGTCCAGGTTGTGGATTTAGTTATTGTTCAAAATGTCTTGACCACAAAATGTTTTTGGAGAAACTGAATGCTGAAGCAAAGGTCATTAGGAGTTTTTATTTTTAAAATTTTGTTTGTCTCCATTGGTAAGCTAAGTATTAAAACCAAACTAATGCAAACAAATTTTATTCATTCAATTTATAACCCAATGACTCATATTGTAACAATAGTAGTGTCAATTGCATTGGTGTAATGACTGACTAATTAAATCTGGGTGTGCAACATGACAATAGAGGAGTGTGCACTTCACTTGATGTTTAAAAGTGTTATCACTAGTAAACTTTAAAACCTTATTTTAATTATCTATCAAAGGGGTCCAATATATTGTAAAGATAGTACTTCACTCTCTCTAAAGAATCTCTAAAGGATTCCATTGTAATTTGTGATGAATAGGTTTAATAAACAGTTAAAGCTTTAAATCGTTATTAATATATTATTATTATTATTTTAGGTATGTGTACAATGTAAAAAAAAATCTAATTATGATAAAAAAATAGAGCCTCCATCTGCTTACTTCAAGTAAGTATAAAAAAAACTTCATGTGAATACATTATCTAAAACCATAGGTTTTGATCCAAAAACTGTAGTGTGCAATTGAAAGAATTCATTTCAAGGAAAATTTGCTGTTTTGCTATTTTGTACAAGGAATACTTTAATCAAAATCAAATAATATATTTTTCTATTGCAAATTCTGTATTGCCACAGAACAATGCAAAATAGGTACAAGTGATGTGATAACAGCAGTATGTTAATACTCAAAGAGAGGTCTACTAACTATCAAGCCCTGGCCTTTCAGTTGCCTTTCAGGTCAACTAAAGAAAATGATGGTACTTTCTTTTCTAATTGTTTTTTAGCAAGTTACCATCACTCTTAGACACCAGCAATGCAAATATGTTCATATTATTACTATGATTTAATTGTTTTACCCTTTCTAGGGAACCTATGTACTGCATTGCAAATTAATTGACCAATTACTTTCTTTTTTTTTTTTCAGAAGATTAGCTACCGTTCAACCACCAGATCCAAATGATAGCAATACAAACTATGCTGGAGCATGCTCAAAAGACAATGAGATTTTAAAACGATTACAGAACCTAAAGCAAGAACAAGTTCACAAGAAAGTTTCCACAGATGACGAGATTGCTCAGAGGCTTAAAAATATAAAAGGTGAACTTCCATCAGCAAGTGTCAGTGAAATTGAAGCACGACTGGCTAATTTAAGAGGTGTACCTGTACAATCACATAGTAAGGTATGTTACTTATGCTGTAAAATATAATTTTGTTTTTAACCTTGGGAATACGAAAGTAGCCAAAATTTTCATAACGTATGCAACATATTCTAAGTTAGTATATACACAAACACCATCATTAAACAAAAATAAACCTCATTTTTCGGTGGGGAAGTTACTTCCTAATAACTCAAGAAAGTCTAGATCTAACATTTGGTATCTTCTGATTAATATAAAAGAAACAGAAAATTACTATTAAGATCTAAAACTCAGTAACAATTGTTAAAATCACAAATAGTTTCTGCTTTAAGAATATTGTATAAATTCCAGCCCATATTACCCACTCCAGATTTAAGAACGGAACAGGAGCAGGCAGATGATTTGATGAAACAGTATTTGGAGCAAGTTAATATAGACACAAAATATAAAGATGATTTTAATGATATAATAGACAGTATTGAATCTAGAGTGCAAAAATTGAAATCATCAAGTACCGAGATATCAGAAGATAAAAGTAAATTATTGTCAAATAATAATACAGAATTAGATGAAGAAGAAACAGTGAATAAAATAATTGAAAAGGTAATTATGATTAGGATGGAGGTTTACTTCTAGGTACTCTGCAGGTCAACTACACCATAGGCGGGTAAATAACCATAAGCCATAACTCTTTACACAGATAGCAATATTATCATTTTCTTATAATATTCAAAGTATTTATTTGGGCTATTTTTCTCTCTGCCTTTAATTTGTTAAGTGCACTATCAGGCTCATCATACTATTTCACCTGCTGCAATATTATAAAATACAGGGTGGCCCATAAGTCCTTTGAAAAGTAAAATTTGAATAAAACGAACAGGGCGCGCGTGAGCGGTGCAGGGGAAGCGGGGGGAGTAACTTCGGTTTCTGGGAATTTAGTCGCGATGGAGCGTTTTACCGGAGCGGACCGTGCGTTTTGTGTGCGCGAGTTTTATAAAAACGACAATTCGGCAACCGTTGCGCGGCGTAAATTTCGAGAACACAAAGGTTTACACAACTTTGACGACACTCCAACTCTTCAAACGATTAAGAACTGGGTTGCTAAGTTCGAGGAGACCGGTTCGACGTTAGATAAACCGCGGTTGGGTCGCCCAAGGACGTCACGTACGGAACAAAACATAGACACAGTGACACAGTCTATTCGCGAAAATCCGACACAGTCAACTCGTAAGCGCGCCAGAGCATTAAACGTATCCAGGACATCGTTACAACGGATTTTGAAGAAAGATTTACATATGCACCCTTACAAAATTCAGTTGGTTCAAGAATTAAAGGAAACTGACGGTATTCAAAGACAAAATTATGCGAATGAAATGTTGAATCGGTTTACTTCCTTCAATAACATAATGTTCTCTGACGAGGCTCATTTCCATCTTAACGGGCATGTTAGTAAACAAAATTGCCGCTATTGGAGCCCCATCAATCCAAAACTTAAGCATCAGAAGCCCTTACATAGTCCGAAAGTG